AAGGTCCGTCGTCGCCGAGCCACCATGGCCTTGAACCACGACAGCATGGACGCAGTCATGGACCAGCAACCTATCCCAACCATTGAGGCCCCCGAGATCATGTCCGAAACTTCGAGCGATCTGCCACCATACTCACTGCCACAAAACGACGCGTTCCTGTCTCCAGGATTCGGCTTCAGTCGTATCCTCTCTCCGCCCAAGACTCCTGTTGCGCAGATGAGAACCATCAGCCACTACGAAGGACCTCAGGACTGGTCTGACGTCCCACATGTCAGTCAGAGTGAATCATCAAGCAGACCTACCTCTTCGTCGGGCTTCTCAGACTCGTCTGTCTCGTCGTGCGATAGCATTGGATCATTCATGTCGCGAAGCGGCAGCTGCACCAGTCTAGAAGACGAATCATCAGATCCCTTCGCGTTCTGCCCACTCACGAACAAGTCTCAACGTCCGGCCTTGCCTTCGATGGCTACCCCACAACCTCGCCCTGCTAAGAAGCTAAGATTGAGAGCATCCTTCAACCAAGAAATGGATCACCACTTGTGGATGACTTACATGAAGTATCTCCAAGATCCTACAGTGACGCCGTTCAAGGCTCTGCCGAGCACGACTCCCCCGAATGGAGTATGCCATCGCGTGGCGAGGATGGCCCGCAAGACCTGGAAGGGCCCAAAGCACACTCGCACTGGCCTGCACGCGACCCCACAATCCCACCCCCTGACTGGTACACCAAGTGCCCTAAGATCGATAAGGAGTGGCAACAACACACCTATCACTCTGTCAAGCAAGTCATCAACCCGCTTCCCTAGCGAGAAGCAATGTCGAAAGCGACTACGAGACTTGGCCAAGCAGAAGCCGACTCTGTCTGCACACTATCAGCGTATGCTTCGTCGATCGCCTTCGCCGCTACAATCCTCTCCTCCACCTGAGCCAGAGCCGCAACCGATGCAACCGATGCAACAGACGCAACCACAGCAACAAGAACAGCAACCGTTGTCCTCGCCGTTCGGCTCTGCTAGCTTTTCTACAAGGGACATGAATCTGTCGCTGGCTACAAGCACCGCAGCATCGATGCAGTTGGGTAACCCGTTGTCGCAACTTACCAAGGATATAACACCGAGACCGTCGCCGCGAACATGGTCAAGTGCGCGTTCTTCTGCTCACCAGAAGTCGCAGTCGCTCCATATCGGTCTGGGATTGGGCAACGTGCTAGGCTCACCATTCCATGCGAGGTCTGAGTCTACCAACAGCAAGATGAACCAGAGCAACGCGCGAACGTGGCACGCGCAGTCATCCTCTTCCCAAACACCACGTCTCGGCTCACCTTTTCAACTGCACGCGCCTCGACCCAAGTCGAGGGTGTTCAAGCGACGCGCGCTTCACAACAGCTTCGAAGATAGAGCACGGAACCGTGGAGAGAGCTTTGTCAACGAGATATTTGGGGCACCAGCCGAGTCAAGCCATCGTCGTGTAAGGAGCCGTGGCTTCAGCTTGGGCGACATGATGGAAGGTGCCCGGCGACTACCTCTAGTCAACGACCCGTCAGGGTTCAACCCGTTCGCACACGCCGGATCTGCTATGCCTAGCCCAGCTCAGACTTCGCCTGCCGTGCCAGCAGATGTTCAAAGTAAAGGTACTGTTCGACTAGGCTCACCATTCGTTGGTCGATCAAGTAATACCTTTCCTCGAGCGGCACTCTCGCATAGCTTCGAGCCTCCAGCTTCATTCGAACAGCGTTTCGCCGGCATGCCTAGCGACTCGGCACACCTATATCGATCGTAGAGCTCGATTGTTTTCTCTTCCGCTTAATCTATGCACCTAAGCATGGTTGCATCATCGGCGTTACGACCGACAGCCTCAAGCGTTGTCATTGCATACACTTGCCTTTTGGCTCACAGCCTAAACCTGCTTTCTGTTAAAAGCATTTCCTTTGTCTTGTCTATACCAACTTCGACCTTCTTCAGCGGCAGATCTCTGCACGTTGGATTGCTTCTTGGTTCATGTTCTCGACTTCTACTTCTTGGACATGATCATGTGGCTACATGTGTCTTCGATGAACTTCAATAATTTGGGTGTGGGAGACCGAGAGCGACGTTGGGTTCGGCATGGAAGGCCCTACAACAGACGACGTCCGACCAAACCTACGGCCTCGGCTTCCCCATCTCTTTTGCGTATCCAGGCATTCTTGCTCGGCTATAGCTTCCTCTCTTTATCAACCGACCATACAGATCGGTTTCTTATTTCCTAGTGTTCATGTCTTTCTCTTCTATCACGACGGACATGATGAACGTTACGAAGCGTGGGTGGGATATCGGCGCCAATCGGGTATGGAGTCTTCACGAATCTCAACGAATGTCTCGAAGCGTGAACGACTAATACCCAGTCTCTTGTCTTTCAGTGACATCTGCTTCGATATGGATTTGGTCCGAAGGAATGGATCGGCTGGATGAGTGATATAGCGGGGTTGACGGTTCGGAGAAGAGCCTAAACACTTTGGCAGATCAGCTGGTCCTTTCTGAAGGAATACAGATGCTTCGAGCAGATGAACTAGTAATGAATGAAATGGATGATTCAAATGAAAACCTTGGAAGAGTGTGAAGAAGAGACTGTGCGTTCCACCTAAGCCCCTCCCAGTGCACTGATCTCCGCACCGCCGTGCCGTAAAGTAGTTCCGTAACGTGAGCACAGGCGTCATCATGTCTGGTCTGTGCCTTCTGCCCATGATCCATGGTAGGCAATTAGCCCTAAGCCACGACGCGATGGACCCCCCTGCTGCACCGCATTCATTCTCTTTGATGAAAAGCAACAGCTGTTTCAACACACGGTATAGAACAAGAAGCCAATAAGTCCTGAATCTCTATCTGTGTACAGATGAGCCTGACTGGCGAAGACCATCTAACCATCTTCCGGCAGAAAAAAATAAAACATGCAGCAAGCGGATGGAACCAGCCCACAACACCAACCCCGAAGTTGAAGTTTCGCGGCCGCATGCACAATTAGCCCAGGCATTACGCCGAGGCCTAACGTTTTCCTCGCTGCCGTAGCTGTCCGGCCAGTCAGACAGTGCGAGCATAAGCCGTAGTACCCACTTGGGCTTATTGTGTGGAGAGTTGTGATGGAATTGTGTCGCACGTCGCGTGCCAAGTTTCTCAGCCCGTGCCCTTGTGCTGGTGCGACGCGTCGGAAGTAGATCATGTGCTACCGCGAACGCGTGAGACGTGTCAAAGGACGTGTTGACTGCGTAATAGTTGGTCCGGATGCGGTAAAGTCATGGTTTGGCATGGAGAGGGGCACCCTGAGAAGGATCCATCGCGTGCGTTGGTGACCTATCTAGTGCAGCGGCTGAGTTGCTTTTGGCAACTAGGGATAAGCCCTTTGGCAATGGTATTGGGTGCGGATGCTTATGCGTCTGCCGGTGAGCATGTATAGTAGACGCAGGCTTTACTAAACGCGTATATGGAGAAGCGGACCTCGCTTGCTGAGTGAGCTCGAGATCATCGGTCGCTGATGTTTATTCCCCTCATCACACAGCCCAACCCTGATAATCTCCGTTCGAGGCCCTTGTTTGCTTTAGTGTTCTCACGACACCATAACACGATACTGACGACACGCGTTGAAAAACTTCAGCCGTGGCCGGTTTCACGTTGAGGGGGCGGGGTGTGTGTGGAGACGCTGCATGCGGAAGGTTCGACGGATGATGATATTGGGCTGAACACTGGCGTCATCTTCAGTATTACCACGGCAACTGGGGCAAGCCTAAGGCGACGGATCGCCTTTGCAATATTGGAGACTGAACTAGATCTCACCGTCTTACGATCTTCTATGCGGGTAGTTATCTACCTATGCTTGGTCAGGATATTTTCTCCGTCGCTCCACGCGTTCGCGTTTATCCGAGGTCATTCGGCGCAGCCTTCGGATCCTCTATCGACATGGCAACTTCCATCTTACAAGCATGTCGACTGGTGAACTAATTGTTTGTTGCTTAGGATATCGTATCTCGGAAGCACCTAGGCCTGGCTGCTGTCTCTTAACGCACGCGAAACTCTGCCCGAGGTTTCCATGTTGGATGACCAAACGTACTGGACTCACAACCTACATTCGATGTATCACGCAGTACCTTCGAGTGCACCACCAGGATCCGAGTAGATACTCTTATTCTCATACGGTGTGCAAAAGAAAGCGACTGTTGATGAGTACTGAGATCTGGATTTGGCAAGCCATCGTGTTGCATGCGATGCCGGCTCCTCGGGACGTTGTCACACCGTTCGATACCACCAATATGCTCGTCGCAAAAATCTAACCGCACAGGACAAGGGATGTCCTATATGTGTGTAGTCGAGTACTCTAGCTTTTAGTAGCGAGCACACTTCTCCCGTGGAATTTGTACTAGCTCAGGCCAGTGCTTGAGGACTTTAGGCGGTGAGTCGTGCTGAACAGTCAATCCATATAGCATGCGGGGGTGTGGTAGATTCGAGATGTCCGAAAGAATCTGGAGCTGGCGTGGGAAGCTGCCCCTCAATATACGCATCGTGCTAAAGTGAGAGGTTCTGATGTTTCGATTATGCTCCTGTAGAGGATGCGTATTCTTCACTTCCATTTTACAATTTATTGCCTCCAGATCGTACCTCGGTAGACTAATTTCTTAACGACTGTCGTGCAATGTGGCTTTATATAATAAAAGACTACACAACGCATTAGATATTCGAGATGTATCTGTCATCAAGCTGGGTCTCTCTTTTGCATCACTGGGACTGTTCGCATCCAAGTATAGTAGTATGTTTTTATAGCATTGTACATTATGATAAGTCTATATTATGGTAAAAGCAACGGATCTTGGTCTAAGAAAAAGCAAATAGTACAACAACGTATCCCGAACTCCTAGCCGTGGCCAAGCCGGGGTATAGCAACTAATGACGTAGAAAAAGACACACTGACATCCACAGCCCACCTCTCGTTTGTGCAATCTGTCTCCGTTCATCAACAACGCCGGTCATGCCACCTCTCTATGAGGATATATCACTACCGTTCCTCAGATGCATCTTGCTCAAATCACCGTTCTGCTGAGGCATTTGCGCTAACCAGGTAGGTGGCGCCATACCAGTCTGATCATGAATAGTGCTGAGAAGAGGTGGCAGGCTCTGGAATAGGTTGCGAATAGGTGCCGACGGATCCGCCATGCCCTCACTACCCTGGCTGCCAGTGTTCCAGACATTGATCTTTGGTTGAAGTCCCTTGATAGCATTACCATTGGCTTGCGCAAGCTTCTCGTATGTGCCGTTGGTGAGCATGAGGTATTGCATGAGACCTTGAGGACCACCGAGAACATTTGCCATGTCGCCGTAGGCCTTGGCCATCGCGGAAAGACCTTCGGCCTCGCGCTGTTGGGTGATGAGGTGGGCTTGAGCTGCACGCTCCTGGGCGAAATATTCTGCTTCAGCTTGACGCTTGGAGACGATGAAGTTCGCCTCGGCTTCGCGCTCTTTCGCCTGGAAGTTTGCCTCAGCATCACGGAGTCGACGGAAAGCAGCAGCTTCAGCTTCGGCTTGCTGGCCATACTTGCTTGCATCTGCTGCCTTCTCTTGGGTGTACAGTTCTGCGTCAGCCTGCTGCTGAGAACTTTCCTTCTCAATCTTAGCCTGCACAACCTTGGTTGCTCGAAGACGTTCAAGCTCCATGAGTGCCCTCTTCTTCTCGACTTCCGTCTGCAGCTCCGCATCACGGCGTTCAGCTTCACGCTTAGCGTTGATTCGAGCAACATTGAGGTCGCGGCCAATCTCAATCTCCTTGTCGGTGAACTTTGCATCTGCTGTGGCCTTCTCGGCTTTACGTTCGGTTTCGAGGACGGCAGTCTGGGCGTGGATCTTGGCGACTTCTTGCTTTGTCTTTCCTTGCTTTTCAGCCTCTCCGACCTCACCTTGCATACGAGCATGGGCGACATCGACCTTAGCTTGGTTGAGAGCGCCCTCGTGCGCCTTGCGAGAAAGAAAAGCAAAGTACTCTGAACCTGGTGTGTCTTGTAGTTCCTTGACGTTGGCGTTGTAAATGCAAAGACCAAATTGGTCCAGCTCAGATTGCACTTGCTGAATTACTACTCGCAATTAGTGTCTGCCGTATAGGTAATCTGTAGATTTCGAGCTTACCTTTGTCCTTGAAGATCTTACGCTCACGGAAAAGTTCTTCCATAGTCATGGTGGAGACGATGCTTCGAGTCTCACCCTCAATAATACCTTTGACAATCTCTTGAACATGATTGCGACCCTCGGCAACTGAGACAACACCCTTAGCCGCTGTTTGAGTAGGACTGCCATCGCTTTCTCCAGTGAGCAATACGGCGTATTTCTCAAGAGCTTCAGGGCTATCTGCAGGGCCGATTGTGAAGACTGCTGGTAGAGCAAATTTAAGTTTCTCGATAGTCATAGCCTGGAGGGCCATGGAGAAGTCAAAGGGTGTAATCGAGATCTTCGAGACCTTTTGTAGGGGGTATACAAAAGCTTTCTTCTTAATTAAGACTTTCTCGATTCCTACACCCGTAATAACGAGGTAGGAATTCGGCTCTGCGACATGGTACCACATGCTGACGGCTGATTTTTGAAAAACTCAGATAATGCTGATGGTAGTCTTGATGGAGTTGGTGTCCAATATCGGAGGATAGTCGATGGAGGTTGAAACAGGTGGTGTAGTAAAGAGGAGTGATGCAGCCCTTATGAAAGATAGGAACCTCTACTCAGTAATATATATGAAGGCTTTGCGTGAGTTACGCGGTGCTGATAGAACCACGGTACCTAATGTGCTCGTAAAGGACTCAAGGTTGTACCGTACCAGAATTGAGGCTCGGGATGATGATGAACAGGTGTACTGAGGTGTATCAGGCAAAACAGGGGCCATATTGACTATTTTATACATCTCGAAGTCTTTGAGATAGTGTTTGCACATGCTGGCTTATCCGTGCAGCCGGCATGTAAAGGCGTTTTCGGTGACCATCTTCGTCTGGTGTTGGTGGAAACATATGCACAGACTATATGACTAATCCCAAAGAGGTTAATGCTTTCTGCCTTGCGCCACATAGCCTGCTACATGTGATCATCTCAGCCTTGGGCCTGAAGCGGCAGTTTGACTTTTGAGAGGCATAATTCCAGCACGGTGAGCGAAATAGGTGCGTCTATTTGCTGCGCAATGCATCGCTCAAAGAAAAGGACCGGTGAAGCGATCTTCAGGCTGGAAGTCAGGAACGCGCTGTGCAAACTGGGCGTTCCCAAGCCTCCGTCCCGAACTTGCTGGTTGAAGTTACTGTCTTCTATCTTATCGCATCCAAGACATTGTCTTCACTGCGCCAAGCTTCCCGGGCCGAACGCCTCGCGACCGTGCAGATGCATGCTTGTGATTCGCTTACCATAGGCGGCGCAGCGTAACACTGTGTCCTTATTCCCATGGCTTATAATGTCACGAGACTATACAGGTACCCTTTAGGACTAGTTAAGGCATCAGTATACGGGATTGAGGCAGGGCTGACTTCTAGAAATCTGCTAACCAGAGTATAGGTTTGCCGAGATCCGTAGATATCGATGAATGACTCTTCTGACTACCGCCACTGGAGCGGAAAACAGAAGTTTGGTAAAGAGAGCAAGTAACTGACCAAGGAACTCGAATCGCCGCAGAAATTCTGATGTCACAGCATCTACACTTCCACACCTCTACACATAGCGATACCTAGATAACCTTCATCTCTCAATCTCAAATCTCGACAATGTCTCGAAACGAAAAACAAGCCTCTCCTCCACCGTACTCAGAGTACAGCTCACCAGGGTCCACACGAGGTCAGACCATCCTCGATCAGTTAAGCACAACCCGCACACATCACATTCAATCCGTGATCGAAAGGCACGTCATTCCTCTAATCGAAGAACGCGCTACCTACGGCATCGCCCAAACAACCATCGCCATGCTCCCCTCCGATATACCTTTGCCCGCAGTGGAAGAGAAGTCTGAATACAGCTTCGATACTTCCGACTCCAAACCGGTAGAAGTAGTTGGTTTCTCATCAGAAGACGAGCCGAAAGTCGTGCGGTTAGAAGGCCAAATGAATCGGACAGAGTTTTGGAGACCGCAAGTCGTGATTGTAGAGTTGGAGCGTATGCTAAGCGAAAACCTGAATGCGAGCCAGGTTCTCAGGAGTCCCAGAGGGCATGGAAGAAGTGAAGCGGATAGTGCACAAAGGCATTCGAGGAGAGGGTTTCTCAGTAGGGTTATGCCATCGTTAGGGCCAGAGCTGCGCTCACCGAGCGGAAATCCCGAGGTTGGCGTGAAACAATTGGATCAAGTAAGAATGGTCGTGGTAAAAGCTAGATTGGAGGAGATTTGTCTGAGGACCGTAAGCGAGTTTGGCTTGTACGATACAATGTCGAAGCAGTGCGTCATCATCCGGGTAGATGCACGGTGTTGATTATCTTTCAAAGCCTGTAGACAAGATATTTAGTATTTAGTAAGGGATGATATGCGATCTTCTTACCATTTACTCGTTGGAGATGCAACACATACGAGGCGAGTACGTATTTACTTGAGGGCATCTAAGCAATACTCGTCACCTCGGACCTCATGCAATACTAAAGTAAGTGTCAATCATGCTGCATGTCAATGTATGTTTTTAGCAAATGCATTCAGCAGTTCTAAAGAGGAAAAAAATTGTAGCTTCGTACTGAATACGGATCATATGTCTACGTGCTGACGACACAACATAAGCAAAAAAACAATCCTCCTCCGGGAAGGCTCGAACTTCCAACCTCCTGATAGCCACTGATGTAACAGTCAGACGCGCTAGCCAATTGCGCCACAGAGGATTTGTTGAGATTCAAGAAATAGTACCATTTATATAGGACGGCAACAATGGGCCCTTGACTACCCTGAAGATTGGGCCACGGTCGTCGCATGGTGAGGTGTGTGGAATGAAGTGGGGCAACCAGGTCCGGACCCCCACCACCTCAAATTCCACATCCATATCATCATCGTGATTTCCCATGTATTGTGTCCTATTTGCTGTCGCTATGCCTCCTCTGCGTCATTCTTCAGTACTACTATGCCATAAGGATCTCGATCGACCTCGCTGACGCCAATCTCAAAGTCATCGTCCGCCAATGCCTCTTGTAATTCCTCGTTGTCCTTCTCCTCTTCTCTGACCTTTGTCCATTCTTCTTGCACTGCCTCTTCTAATTGCTCCATCAACACCTCTGCCAAGAAGCCACGCTCAGAATTGCTGTGAAACAAGCTGATAACGACCCTGCCCTTCTCGATCGCCGCAAGCGCCGAGTGATGATCCATCTCGCCTGTGAACAGCAAATCCACATCGAGACCGTTCAATAGGCCTGAGCCTGAGCCTGCACATATGCCTACGCTACGTATCTCAATATCAGAGATCGTCTTGTCCTGTGGTATGGCAATTGGGAAGCCCTTGGGGTTGTTGAGTCCCTTGCCTATGCGATCGAGTAGCGTAGGAAGCGGTTGTGGGTGGTCGAACCTTACGACGCGACCCATACCTGCTCCAGGGTGTGAGGCTAGTGCTGGCGATTGAGGTTTGATGGCTTCGCGCTTGTGAGGAGCTGTGAGTGGGACCGTGGTGGGGGCAGGTAGCTTGCCAAAGCTGAGCATTGGCTGGCTCGGATGATGTTGCAGGGTGAATGTAGGGCGCTTCTTCTTTTCGACAAAGGGGTCATCATCATCTGCGTTTGTGTTGCTTATAGCTTCGGATTGACCGTCTGCATCTGAACCGTCACGAACCGTCTTCGTGCCTGTTACAATATCCGCTAGCCAGTCCCCAAGCCCTCCTGGAGCTGAGTCAAGCGCAGTGTGCGGGCTGTACACACTGATGCCATGGCTAGCAAGGCGTAGTAGCGATTGCTGTTGGGTATCCGCGAGAGTCAAGGACTTTAAGCCTCTGAATATGATAGGATGGTATGCGATGACAATGGAAGAGTTGAGGGCGATTGCTTCGTCGGCGACAGCTTTCGTAAGGTCGATAGTAAGGAGGACGGTGTTTGACTGGCGTCGCGACGGATCGAATGGCGCCTCAAGCAGCAGCCCAGTATTGTCCCAGGAGTTGTCTGCAAGTTCACGGGGGTACCTTTGAATCAGTCAGTACATGATGTTATTTGAATCGCGTAGGGGTCCTGGTCAATTGCTATGCATCGAAGAGGGAACGATGCATTCTATCTAATGTCACTTACAGCTTCTGCATAGCCCTCACCACCGCCTTGGAGAAGGGCGCTGAAGTAGTGGTCGCACTCATAGCGAATCGTCGTGCCGTAGATGCAAACATACAGCTCCCAGATGAACAATTGCAAAGCAAAACTACGCGTGCAGCAATCCCGCCTTAACGCGCCTGTGACCCCTGCAGCTATGCGTCATAGCCCCTCCCCTCTCCAAATCCCGGTCTTTCCCCGTTCGGAAGCCGCATCTTATCAGATCCGAAGATAGGAACACCAAGTCAATATCACATCATCGCCCTATGGATCCGCGACACAAACTTTACAAAACTCTTGATAATCTTGCCATCGAACCAGACACTACGAAAAATATGAGTGCAAGGACGGACGAGGAAGCGACGAACGTGCAGGCAACTTCTGGCGTGACCATGGAGGGACTGGAAAGGAAATTGAAGGAGGGTTTGGGCGCAACCTACGTTGAGATTGAAGATCTGAGTGGTATGTACTAGTTTTTGGTTTCCAATGTTCAAAAACAAGCCAGGAGGGTTGTGTCGTAAACATGGTGTTGAACTAGACAAGTACGGTTTGGCAACTGGTGTCCTCAGCACATACTAACGAACAAGAATAGGCGGATGCGGGCAAATGTATGAGGCCATCATCGTGTCTCCCCAGTTTGCCAAGAAGACCACTCTAGCACGGCATCGGCTAGTCAACTCGACGTTGAAAGAGGAAATTGCGGCGATACATGCGTGGACGCCAAAGTGCCATACGCCAGAAGAGTGGGAGAAGAAGAAACCCCAGTAAAGCGTGGCCACACTGAGTTAGACATTCGAGAGAGCATGAGTACAGACTTGCGCGTCACAAATGATGCAAATGATGAATACGATGCATGAATGAGGTGGAATATCATGATCATTGTCTACTAGCTTGTACATACTTGTCACTGCAGACGTCTAGCTGAGTAGCACCCGTATCTCACCACTGGTACGAGGAAACAAGTCTCTCAACCCGGGCTCCTGCTCCTCGTCTTCCTTGTCTTCATCGTATGTCAGATCATCGGCCGCTATCATCTTGCCCTCCACAATTTCAAAGTCCTCGCAGAATTTGCTAGCCGCTTCTTCAGTGATATTCTGTATCATCTTCCTGTTACGCAGCCGCTTGATGTTTTCCGATGCGTCAATGATAGCTGACGGCAAAAACTCATCCAGCTGCTGACTGGCTGCGACAAGTGCATCTGGCTTGAAAGCTTCCAACTCAGGGATTGTCTTGAGACTTTCTGGCGAATCATCGATCTCCTCAAGAGCATTGAGAAGGGTGACAAGACCAGACTCATGAATCAGGTATTGATGTTGGTAGTCTGTCAACTTTGCAACGTTCTCGTCAATCGTATCGTCAATCTCGCTGACTCGCTCGCTAGCGAAGGCATATGCAGAGAGCACCTCTTTTGCTGCATAGAGGCAATTAATGGCGAAAATGGCGCTGTCCGGCTCTTTCATCTCTTTCTGCAAATTTTCGCAGCCATTCAAGAAAGGATCTAGCGATTCCGCAAGTACAGTCTGGAACCCTTGACCGTTATCCTCCGTTGCGGCAACTGATGTATCGTAGCTCTTTGCGAGAGTTCGAAGCATTTGAAGCGCATCTTCTAGGAACTCGGGAGCAGACAAGTCGGCCGGTGCTACAGCAAGATCGCTTTGCACATTGGCCACGTAGTCCCTCATGTTGGCACGGAATTGCCGCATTGCAGAAGCTTCCAATCCGTCAAATACATCCAAGACATCGGAATCTGGTCCAAGCAGCTTGGCAAAGGTTCCTTTGTAAAAGCCGATCAAGTTTGCGATCTTGTAAGCAAGGGTAGCATCGTCATGGCTTTGAACTACCTGCTCAGTACGCTGCCTTAGGAGACGAGCCACGCCTGTGAGATCGCGGCTGACGAGCTGGTTCAAAGCTTTTCGTCCGTCAAAGACTTCTGCATCTTCTTCACCTCTCAGCCAAGGTTCGCTTTCAAGACCTGCTTGAATGGAACGCTTGATTTCATCGCCATCTGAGATGAAGAGGTTCTCGAGTGCCTCCCTCTCCGATACAGTCGTTGAGTGAGCCCATGCAAGCATGTCTCCGACGTAGCGCAGTGGGTCGTGAGCATGGAATTCGATTGGTTTGGTGGCTATATGCTCTTCTGAAGTCGATCCAGTCAACGCAGCATGGAACGAGTCGGACAGAATGGCTTCTCGTGCCTCGGCGAAGGAGTCAAGACAACTTTGGAATAGTGTGGGACGTTCGGCTAGCACGCGCAAAGACCGGCGCACAGAAGCACTAATCTGCGGGTTTTCTAGATCCAGTGTCTTGAACTCGCGTTGGATCCACCGATATAGCTTCTGGAAGGCTGAGTTGAGTTGCTTGGAGCTCTGTTCTAGCACCTCCAAGCCCAATCGTTGGTCTTCGGTTCCGAGCAGCACTTGGCAATCGTGATGTATTTTCTTTACGCGGGTCAAGACTTGGAAGAAGTCTTCGTTGACAGGCTCAGCAGTGGATGTCAGAGTAGTGGCGTCTTCTTCAGATATCAGGAAGTGGGTGCTAAAGGCGTTCAAGATCTGCTGCTTAGATTCGACCTGCTTCCTTTGAGTGATGAGGCTTGTGGCTTCTTCCAAGACAGGTCCAGTCTCTCTGTTGGCAGCCTCAATGTGACCGCGCATATCAGCGCAATAAGTGTTCAAGCTACTGATAGCACTTCCGATACGTTTGAGTTGCTAGTGGAGCTTAGTTGATGTTTTCAGCAGTTCGTGTTGCAACATACTTCGGCAACCTGACCAAAGTCCTTGATGATCTCGCCATTGCACTCGATGACCTCCTTCTGCACATCTAGACGCAACTGACGTCGTGTCTCGGCAGTGTTCTGCACTCGACGTGCATCCAGAGTTTCCAAGGCATCGCGGATCTCTAGATCTGCGTATGATGCAGAGAGCACACTGGTGATCCTGCTCGAGAGGGCATTTGTACCTCGCGACGCGGGGGCTACAGAGGGAGAAGACGGAGAGGTGCCATTCTGAGAAGCGGGAGTTGCCCGGTCCTGGAAATAGCTCACGGACATGACTGGATGGGTGTTGTGACTTTGGGCCCAGAAAGGTGGCATATCGGGCTGACAAGGGGCAAGTGCAGCCGAGCCTTATCGATATCGGTCGCGTCACCTGCGTGACTGCCATGTGCCCTAGGATAGCCGCAACCATCTCTCTTCCTAATCGCTATCACGCTGAAATGATCACTGACTAGGTTTACGTCAGTGCTCATGGAGGCTCGTCTTGACTCTTGGGGATCACGTCTTCGGTCCTCTGACCACTCTGCCATCCTCCAAACACGCTTGACCCAGCGCAGCACAGCACAGCACGGCCACGCGCCCCGCCGCTGCCTGAGCGCATCACTATACATCAGCCATGATGGCCTCCAACCTCCTGTCTAGGCTACTTCCTTCTGCTTCAGACGAAACATACGAACGCGAACCCCTCACCGCCCACGCCCACGCCCGCCGCGACTCCACCTCGACCGAGGAGCGCCACGAGATGGACATTGACGAGGAGAACTTTGAGGCTCGCTTCGAGGAGCAAGACCTGGCACACCTGCTCGAGGAGGCCTCTTCAAGCCAGATGACGGCTGAGAGTCGCGCCGTCTCTCCCGAGGCCAAACGCAACGCTCCGCCCGGCATCAATACCGCGAGTCGCATGCCAGCTTGGAGACAGCCAGCTCCAGCTCGCACCGTACCGCTAGATGACGACGACGACGTACCACAGTCTTTGCTTCTCGAAGGAGGACACGAGCCTGGGCCAAGTTCGACCCAGCGCAATCAAGGCCTCCCCATGCCAGTGCCTGGCCCAGCCACGCGGCAGACACGGGCACAATGGAATGCCACCCGAACACAGCAGCGGCTGCACGATGAGGATAGGAGCGGCCCATCTTCACGGCCGTGGGGACATACCAGTAGACCCGGTCACTTTGTAGCCGACCGAAAGGAGAAGGCCATGTGGCTGTGGGTCAATCAGACGGACTTGGACAACTACATGACCGAGGTCTACGAATACTATGTCGGCTGCGGAATATACTCGATCCTTCTGAGACGAGCTCTAACGCTCGCGCAAACTGCTTTTGTAGTCGGATTCATGACGTTCCTTGGCTGGTGTATTGACTACTCCAAGCTGTCAGAGAGCAACAAGATGAGCCAGGTCTTGGTGCCCAAGTGCGCTGCGAGGTGGGTCATCCAATTCTGTGAACACGGTTCTAGACTGACATGATATAGAATCCATGGTTTTTGGATATTCGCCCTCTGGCTCTTCCTCATCTACTGGCTCTACTCATTCTACACCCTAGTCACAGACGTACCCCGACTTCGAGCCATGCACGACTTTTATCACTATCTTCTCGATATTCCCGACCGCGACATACAAACGATACAGTGGCAGCAGGTGGTGACACGCATCATGGCATTACGGGACTTGAACTTGGCGACTGCATCGAATCTATCCCCACAGACGCGCAAGTTGCTCGATTCAAAAAGCAGGCAGCGACTAGATGCTATTGACATCGCGGGTCGTCTCATGCGTCGTGACAATTACCTGATCGCTTTATTCAACAAAGAGATATTGGATGTCACTGTTCCGCTTCCCTTTATTGGTGATCGGTACATCTTCTCGGAAACAACTAGGTGGCACGTCAACCTCGCCATCATGGACTTCGTCTTTAGTGGACCAAACGGCCAGTTCAACCCCGATTTTCTCAAGGAGCGCAACCGCCGAGAGCTGGTTAAGAGGTTAAAAACCCGTTTCTTCTGGACCGGTATCATTAGTATCCTATGCGCACCTGCCGCTGTAGTATTCGTGCTTGCATCATACATGTTCAAATACTTCACTGAGTATCACAAGGACCCTGGCCAACTCAGCAATCGCGATTTCACCACGTTTGCTCAGTGGAAGTTCCGCGAATTCAACGAGCTTCCTCATTATTTTGCCCGCCGCCGTAATATGGCCTATCCGTACGCAAATCTCTACCTCGCCCAATTCCCTAAAGACAAGACCGAACAGGTCTCCTCGTTTGTAGCTTTCATCGCGGGAGCCTTTGCGTTTGTCCTCGTGGTGTTCACACTACTTGACTCAGAGTTGTTCCTCAACTTTGAGATCACACCTGGAAAGACTGCTATCTTCTGGATCGGTATCCTTAGTACAATTTACCGCGTTGCACGTGGGAGCAGCCCTCAGGATGATCAGGTCACAGATCCATCCTACTATCTCAACCATGTCATCTACCACACGCGCTACGAGCCAGAGTCGTGGCGTGATAGGTTACACACGGACGAGGTTCGCGCCGAATTCGCTCAACTGTACCAGCCCAAGATCCTCATCTTTGCCGAAGAGATACTCAGCATGGTCATTACTCCTTTCCTCCTCATCTTCCGGTTGCCCAAATGTAGCGATCGTATTGTTGACTTCTTCCGTGAATTTTCGATTGTAGTCGACGGCCTGGGTGTAACATGTTCCTACTCCATGTTTCCATCTACAAAAACCACACGCAACGCCAACAATATTCCCGCGAACGGAACTGCAGCCCCAAGAGAAGATCCGGATCTTCGAGAAGACTATTTCATGGCTAAAGACAACAAGATGATGGCATCATACTACGGCTTCTTGGACACGTACCAGAACTCTGGGCGTGGCTACAATGGTCGTCTTCAAGGACGAGGCCAGTTTAATCCTCCACCACAGTTCCCGAATAACTTCGGCTCCATGTCACAGACCGCTCAGCCAATAGAGATGGGCGCAAGAGGGACAAGTAGAGGTCCGACTGGACGCCAGAATCTCCAGCAGAGGACACCAAGACATAGAACAGGTACTAGGGATGAGCCCATGAATTCTGTTCTCCTCGATCCTCACCACCAACCCTCTTCTGCGTCGGTGCTGCGCGGTTCGCCACGCCAAGCGCCACATGGCAGGTATCGAACACCTCTCCAAGCAGTTCCGGATGCACCTGGACCATCGAATACACGTATTGAAGAGGAAAGCACACTGGGCGACTCTTGGCGAACAAGTCGCCTTGCGCAGGATGACGAGGAAGAAGAGGAGGAACCAGGCAATAACCGTGGAGGTGTACTACAGCTCTTGCAGCAGTTTTCTCGTGCACAAGCTGAGGGACGAGGTGCTGGTGTTGGTGTCTAGATTCTATTTTTGTATTGCATTTGCCTCTCGTCATATTGAGGATGGAATGGCGTTTGGCAACGGGCGTTGTTGGGCTGGAAACTTATACCACAAGTCATACGCATATTACAAGTAGAAATCGATTGCAATTGTTCAATTACAAGAGTGACGTCACTACCAATCATAGATGGCAACTGCTGATCGCCGTTAAGACTTGCTTCCATTTGCAGGTGACGTACATGTCCATTGTTATTACTTTTCTGATGAATGTGCAAACCCGAGGCGGAGATTACGGCCTACAGATTTAAGATACGTTTTCCATGTCCGGATGTATCAAACATCAAAAACAGAATTCCTCCTATGTCAAGACAGTGTTAGGTTACCTGTAAAAGATTCATGAATACGAGCATATTGAACAGAGAGGTTGTTGTATCATTTGTCATTGTCCGGCTGTGTCTGGTTGTTCTCTACAGTTACACGCCGCAGATATTCATCCTCCAGCCTTCATCCACAACTGATGAAGAAAGCAAATCACGCCGTAACCGAATTCCCATTGGACCCATGATCGTCATGCACACAACTCATCTCTCAATCCTGAACCTAAGCAGAGGCCTCGAAAGCGGAAGGGAAGCGACGGATGTTGTCGGCAAGGTTACCCTTGTTGCGGAGGAACTGGACGTAGGCACCGTCAATCTTGACCTTGCCCTCCTGGCGGAGGTCAATGTACTCCTGGCGCTTGAGAGGAGTGAAACCCCAGTTCTTGGAGACGATGATCTTTTGGCGACCAGGGAACTGCCAGCTAGTTAGCCTCATGTCATTCTGCAATCGTGAATTAAACATACCTTGTACTGGCAACGCCTGAGAGCCTCGAGAGCGACAGCGCGGTTAGAGTCCCTAGTCCGGACGGACATGAGAATCTGGCCGATGTTGACACGAGCGACAAGACCGTTGGGCTTGCCGAAAGCACCACGCATACCGGTTTGCAATCTATCGGCACCAGCGCAAGACAACATCTTGTTGATACGGACGACGTGGTAGGGGTGGACGCGGACACGGAGATGGAAAGATTCCTTTCCACCGTTCTTGACGAAGTACTTGTTGGCGCAAATACGGGCGGCCTCGAGCGCCTCGGAGGACAGCTGCTCGTACTCGTTGGAGACCAAGTGAATGCAGAGCGGGAAGTCGTCTACGTTGGCCTTCTTGCGACCAAGGTCGAAGATGCGGATCTTGGCATCGGGGACACCACGGTTGAACCTGCTCTTGGGGTACTACAGCCCAGTCAGTCTATTGTCCTCCTCTCGCGCATTTCCCAGTCGGATTCTGACGTACGGGCTTGTTCTTGCAGTAGCGGTAGCAACGGGCGGGACGGCGGGCCATTGTGACGGTATTTCCTGCTGTGAATCAATGAGCGGATGTCCGGAGTCGTCGAAAGAGAGGGCGAGCGCAAACTGGTGCAGCTGTCAGTAACACGTCTACCGGCGGTGAGCGATGCGGCGGCCGTACGTACCTTACCCTATATATGACCTTGGTGTTAGTGGGAGGTGTCTGAGGCGAAGGCGAAAGGGAAGTCGTGATGGATTGCTAAGCGGAATATTGACGTACGCACGGACCCTGTGTGGGCAAGCACCCCCAGCCGGATTTCAAAGCACAGCAACGCCACAGCCCGCCCGAGCAGCGAGCTGCGAATGTGCAATTCTGGGGCCGCGTACAGCGATCTCTATAGCCGATACGGCGCATGTTTCAACAAGGTACGTGCAACATGGAATCCAGAAATGTTCTTCGTAATCACAATCGCAATCCATGGATGAGTGTGACCAATACTCAACATGCTGTGCACTCGGGAGTGCAAAATGCACACGTCGTACTTGAGACCTGCTACAGTCCCTTCGCCAGATTTGCACTGCATCTTGATGCATCCATGGCTTCTTCACAGATGAGTCGATGCATAATGGTCTTCAAGAGCTCGGTCCGTAAGCACTAGCAAGGCGGAGTGGGAACCTGTCTTGGAAGAGTCACGTCACAAAGTGCAGATTTGGACAGTCATTATGGCTCATGAATCTTGTGGCATTCATTGGATATCATCATGGGTCGAGCTTGCGCTACGCCCTAGGTATCATGTCTAACTGTTTCCTTTCCATTGCCATGGCACTCTAGTTCTCGGTGTTCTGGCTCAAGATGTCGGAGTCACCTGTCAATTTGTCAGCGGGCTGTGTTTGATGTGACCAGAAGATAAGATACATACCGGCATCGAGGATGGACATGACGGAGCAGCGGAAGAGCTTACCGCAAGCGGTGCCCAACTCAATCTAACTGGTATTAGCTGATAGCTCTCCGAAGCCATGTTCAGACCTCTTCTCAGAGCCAGCCCTCGAAGTATACCCAGCACCAAAGAGCTCGTCGTCGTCACGTTCTGTGTACATTCTGATACATCCTGAAACCGTGGAATAACGAGCTCCATAGCGTACAAGGTATCTTGTCGTTAGGCAATGAGAGTGGACGGGGGTGTACGTACGTTGTTACCGGAGAAGTGGTGGACGGAGGTCTTGGACAACATGGCGTAGTCTGTCTGGAATTAGCGATTGCTCGTACAGAACAGATGACAGTGTTCCTTACACTCGAGCTCAGACTTCCTCAGGGGAGGGGTGTTTCCGGCGATGATGACGAGCTTGGCCTTGCCAGTTCGCAGGCTCTTGAGGGTGGACTTGTAGCCGAGGGTGACCTTACCGGACTTCATCACAAGCGCAAGGCGCGAGTTGATGGAGTCGGCGGTTCTCTTGTTCTTCTTGGGGGCCATCGTTGCTCGTAGGAAGTCGAATGTGGTATTCCTAAGGGTTGTTGAGCTCCGGTCGTTGTTGGTTGATCGTAGGAATTGGGGCAGTCGCGCGAAAATTGTGTGGGCAAATCTTGGCGCGCTAGCCATTAGCGCAACTCCAGTGGGCGAACAATGGACACAGCATCTTCTTGTGATGTTACGGATCGACTTGACTATTGATGTGGTGACTGGAAAATTACTTGTTAAGTGGGTTGGAATAAGTGGCCATGATGTGTTCTCCCCAGGTCACCGCAACAGTGTATATGAGCATTATGTACCATAGTGAAGGCAGGATAGTCATATGTTTGATTCAGATGTTCTCTAGCTGAGAGTGGCCATACAAACACCTAGCTCACAGTACTACGTAGAAAAATTCGAGCATAAATACAACGCTATCCAACATGGTATCATTGCACTTTGACACGCCATCAATTAAGACGCATCCACCAAACTCCTTCTTTCAACACATCTACTAGGCTTCATCATAAGGAAACTCTGACAACAGGAAGCCCCGTTTATGCCGCTGCTCTTTGCGCCTGTCGTCCTCCTCGGGTCGGAGCCCCAACAGCGCCAGGTCTGTTCAAAGTGTACTTTGCGAAAGCCCTTGCCAATGCCTTCTTTGCGCTGACCTTTTGCGACCCAACGAAAGAGTCGACAGCAACAGCAATGGCACGGTCAATATCCACCGACGCAACGTAGTCGGAGAGACGCATCTTGCAGAAGGACTCTGCAATACGTAGGATAGCTTCGAGATGACGGACCTGTAGTTGTGAGTAGGTGCTTTGTTAAAATGAGTTGTGTACTTACGGTGATAGGGTAGGCTCCAGTTGCCATAGACTCTCGGCGCATGTCTGCGAATAGACGTGCAATCTTGTCTTGTTCAATCTGGTAGAGCTTGGGCCTGCACTTCTCCCTCGCGTAGAGAATGTACTTCCTCAGAAGATCTTGAGGGATTTCACCCTCTTTTATCGGAGCGTCACCATCAACTTCCATTTGGTCGTCGCCGTTCTGCGTCGCTTTCGACTTGTCAGAGTACCCGTATGCTGAGTTAACAAGAGGATGAGCACGGCCGTGAGAGTTCACAACGAACTTGGCTAGTCGTTCATCCTCCGCTGGGTCAACAGTATCGCGTACAACACATAGAATGTCGAATCGAGAGAGAATAGGTTCGGTAAGCTCGACATTTTGCGAGAAAGGAATCGTAGAGTTGTATCGACCACCAATAGGGTTGGCAGCTGCTACAATCGAGCAGCGAGCTTGAAGGGTTGTGACAATACCAGCTTTCGAAATGGAGATAGTCTGTTGCTCCATGGCCTCGTGGATGGATGTTCGGTCCTGGTCGTTCATCTTGTCAAACTCGTCGATAAGACAAGTACCTTTATCAGCAAGTACAAGCGCACCACCCTCGAGAGTCCACTCGCTTGTCATAGGATCCCGACGGACGGAAGCGGTAAGACCAACGGCGGAAGCACCCTGACCTGTTGCGAAGACAGCACGATGGGCAGTTTTCTCGACATATTTGAGAATCTGAGACTTGGCGGTACCAGGATCTCCAAGCAGCAGAACGTTGATGTCGCCACGAATGGAGTGGCGACCAGGAGCTTCTTTGCTGACACCTCCGAAGAGGGAGAGTGCCACGGCAGTCTTGATGTCAGTATGTCCGTAGATACTCGGAGCGATCGAGTTGATAACCTTGTCCACGATACGAGGATCCTTGGACAATCGTCGAATCTCCTTCTCATCATCTTCGGTCAACCGGAAACCAGCCAGTTGGTCATGCGATTTGACTACGTAGTTTGCCTCAAGAATCGTCGCAAAGACGGGGAAACCATTCTTGTTGTTCAGGGCAGCATCGTAGTTGTTACGGTAGATACCGGTGACTTCGATTTCCTCACCGGGCTTTGCAGAGTCTATCAGATCCCAGAGAAGGATGACTTCGCGGTGACGAGGCAAACGTCCCGCTGGCACAGTCCCTGGAGACTCTTGCAGGGTAAGTTTCTGGTAGTTTCGGTAGACCGTACGCTCGGAGTTGACCGTAAATGGACCACGTGACTGGCAGTTCTGGCAGAAGGAGATTTTCACCTCAACGTTGGAATCCTGGTGGAAGGGACCCAGAGTAACGCCACATTTGGTACAGTCAAACTTGACGTACTTCAATTGAGGGAAAACTCCGCTTCGGCGGGTGACAACTCCACTGACACGAACCAGACTGTTAAGATGTGATTGACGGAGCTGGCGCAGAGTATACTGAACAGGCACGTCCGTGATGCGAACGTGAATCTCGGAATGGATGCGCTCGTAATCCGGGTAGTGGAGGAGGGCAACTTCCATAGCTACCTGATCGAAGATCTTCAACATCTCCGTCGGGGTATTGGCTAGCCAATATGCCAGTGTCGCCTTCTGTTCGGCAAGGTGGTCGAATGACACCTCTAGAGACTCTGCGTTGACCTCACCCAATGTCCGAATGCGGGCTCCGTATACTGAATGACCCTGCTCGTCGGTGTATTCTGTGAGGAAAGACTTGAACTCGCGCGCAATGGTCCTGGCGACTTGAGGTTGGGCCACCCAATCCGTCAATGTGTTGGCTTTTACATCGGTAAGCGCCTCAAGCGTCAACTCCTCGTTCATGATATCGTCAGTCATGTCCATATCGTCTTCTTCGTCGTAGCGGTTTCTCCGAACGCGGCGGCGCCCCGTTCCCATCAAACCTGCCAGGCCATCCTGCTCGTCTTCGTCTGGTAGGAAAGCAGCGGGCATGCGGCGTCTTGCCTCTCTATCACGAGCGTTGAGTCGTGCATCAAGCTCCCGCCTCTGAGCAAGACTAAGCTCTTCGTAATCGCCCTCATCGTCAATACCCTGGCCTTCGTAGGCATCGTTTTCTCGGGCTGCGTAGTCGTTTTCGAAATCGTCTGCGAACAGATCAATTCCTTCTGCCTCTTCTGCATCTTCGTCGAGGTCGTCTACATCGCGAATGATGTCGTCATCGTCGAGCATGTCTGCATCGTCATCTTGGGGGAGCATGGGGGGAGACGAGGCCATTGCTGTGCTTGTTTAGCCATTGTTGTGTCGCATATTTCGTCGCACTCACGGCTGGATGGCGGATGCGCCGCTGAAGAAGGCAGATCTTCGTCATCTCGTGCGCGTTTATTGTTTCTGCTGCTGGGGCCTAGCCCACGGTTTGCGGACGACATATTGGAGCGAAGTGGTGGTGAACTGATGTTTGTTAGTGTCTTGTTGTTGATGGTAAAGAGGGGCTCGAGTCGTTGCTTGGCCTACGAGTATCGTGGAAATCTGAGACACTTACCTCATAGTCGCTTAAAGCACGGTTCTTTTCATATACCACCGAGACAGATCAAGGTGATATGGAGTTGCAGAGCGGGGTTGAGGGTGGGAGAGAAGGGGTTGTAAGGGCCAGCAACACGCCCGCGTCGCGCTTTCCTTTTCCACGCGTAAAGTGGTTTCGCGGTGGCCAATCAGCGGCCACGCGCATCCAGCGCCTTCATCACCGCTCACCAGAGTTTACGACCTGCAACCACTACAACCGATTTAATTTGGCGCAGGATCTTGTGTTTTGACAATTCGTTGGTTGTTCCTCGACTCCAAATAACACTTCCTTCCGGATAGGTTTATCACTCGTTGCATCGCAAACATGGCCGAGTCACAGTCCACAGCCATGTCCTCGAAGCCACGCACGAGCAGCATATCGCAAGCATCAGAAAGCTCGCAAACAGCAGCCGAGTACGTGTCTCCCGTAGCTCTGCTCTGTACGTGACAACTAACAGTATACCACCAGTTTTATCAAAGAACAACTCAGCCTCGAAGCAGAAGCACGCGAGGCTCTTCCATACGTCAGTACATATGCCGCCTCGATTGCGCGTTGACTTACAAGATGTAGCAATTCGACACCTGCACACGCGATCTCGGCCCTCTCCGCCAGAGCCTCTACGCATGCCTTACGTGTAACCCGGCACCAGCATCGTCCGCTCAGCAGTACACCCCAGCAGGCGTCTGCTACTCGTGTTCGATCTCGTGCCATGGCGAACATACTCTTGTTGAGCTGTTCAACAAGCGGGACTTCATATGCGATTGCGGAACTACTAGGATACCGGACATGACGCCTTGCACGCTCCGGCTGAACGCGGAGACTGGACGGAAAGGCGACGTGACGGGTGAGGAGCCAGCAAAGACGAACAAGTACAACCAGAACTTCAGGAATAAGTTCTGTGGCTGCGGCGAGGACTATGACCCCAATCAAGAGAAAGGCACAATGTTCCAGTGCCTTGGGCTTGGAACTTGCGAAGAGGGCGGCTGTGGCGAAGACTGGTGGCACCCTGAGTGCCTGGTAGGCTTCACTCGGGCTGAGTATAGCAAGATGATAGAGAAGCCGAACATTGACGACACGGCTGGTACGAAAGATGCCATGGAGACCGACAAACCTGCGACAGATGGAAATAAGAACAATGAACACACAGATGTAAAAGCGCCTCCGAATTCAACGGATATTGCGGCTGCAGTGGCAAGTGGTGGTGGAGTTGACGGAAACGACATTGCAGGAGATGCTGGTGCTCAAGAGGACGATGACCCACCACTACCTCCAGGTTTTCCTGAGGAGGACGACTTCGATCACTTCATCTGCTACAAGTGTGTTGCGACAAACCCTTGGATCAAGCAGTACGCTGGTTCAACTGGATTCCTACCACCAGTCTTCCACGACAAGACTATCGCGCTTTCTCATGCACAAAAGTCCACAGTATCAACTTCAGAGCACATGAACGGCGATTCTAAGAAACGCAAAGCTTCCGACGAAGACGAAGAGGAACAGACAGCAAAGCATCTCTCAGCACCCGCTCCGGCTAAGCGCCAAAAGTCTGAAGACCCAAGCGGCACGCTTTCCAGCATCCCCGAGGATACCAAGACACTTCCTATAACACCAAAGAAGCCGGAAATGCCAAAGCACGCTTCACTCCCTTCTTTGCCCGAAGCTGCTCTCACAACACCCTTCTCTCTCTTCCTCAAGCCTGACTTCCGCGACTATCTATGCCACTGTGATGCCTGCTATCCCCAACTTAAAGCTCATCCTCAACTCCTAGAAGAAGAAGACACCTACGAGCCCCCCGTATCTGAAGAGGGCGAGGAAGGTGGACAGTCAGTTGGCACAGGCAGTATTCTTGATCGTGGCGAAGCAGCATTCAACAACATGGACCGTGTACGTGCTATTCAGGGTGCAATGGCATATGCGCACTTAAAAGACAAGGTTTCGGCGTTCTTGAAACCTTTTGCTGAGTCGGGTCAAGCTGTTGGTGCAGAAGATGTCAAAGCGTATTTTGAGAAGCTGAGAGGTGACGCGCAGGGTATTCAGGAGGCTGCTGGTGAAGCGAAAGCAAGCAGGGATGATGGAGATGACGGTGGAGCTGGAGGGGATGGGAGGAAGGAGCAAAGTGGGTATTGAGCGTATATTCGTCTCTTCGAACGGATACCGAAATTGGTTTCAAGGTTCGTAGGAACGCATATCCCACTAGGGAGTCATGAGCACAGCTTTGCGGATCTGGGCGTAGTTGCTATACAAATCAGATGACATTATCGAATCTTGGGTATCAAATTAAAGCTACATTCTTTTCCTTGCAAACCAGCGCAATCAATCATTTTAACAAAATACAGGAAAACATGCTAAACATCACTCCCTTGACTGGCCGCTCAAGCCGTCACGGTTACAGTGGTCGTCTCCTTGACTGTCTCTTTTTCCGTTGCCGTCGCAGTAACAGTCACGGTAAATACCTGACTTGGTGGTATCGGTGTGATGATTAATGGGCCTTCCGATGTTGTCGATGAGGGCTCTGGCTCTGGCTCTGGCGACGCAGAAGATGGCATATCTGTAGGTGCTGGCGGTGTTGGCACGGCGTCGGATGTCGATGCAGTTACCTCTGGAGGTGGCGCAATAGAGGATGAGAGAGAGGGCTGCGAGGAAGCCTCTGGAAGTGATACCACGGGTGAAGAAGATGTGGTTGGTTGCGCAGAACTTTCAGGGGCACTTGAAGTGGTCGGTGTGATGGAGGATGCCATCGCGGGTGGTGTAGGTGAAGGCGCAGGAATTTTGGACATCGAAGACGATGGCGCGGGCGCCGTGGGCGTTGGCTCCGCTACCTCCGAAGAGGAACTTGCGATTGAAGATGATGGGGCCATCGAACTGGAAAGAACTGGCTCTGGCATCGCGGAAGAGACAGGCGTCTCAGGTGCCTGGCTAGGTTGCGGTGTTGGCGTTGGCATGACCGTGGTGTATGATGTTACAATCACTACAGGCGGTACTTGAAGAGATGCTGACGGAGATACTTCAGCTGGAGCATTCGATGGAGACGGTGTAGGTGCACCAGCCACTTCTGATGATGATGAAGAAGAAGCTACAGAAACGGACTCTTGCGCTTCGGATGGCATAGCTGACTCCTGTGCAGGTGTTTGGGGTGGCTGAGATGTTGCATAAATTGTGGTGTATTGTGTGACGACGATGCGCGATGTTACATCTACGGCATCCGATGCAGTCTCGGAAGGTACAGCAGCTGTTGGCGAGCCGGACGATATGGGAAGTGGGAGTGCCAGAGAAGTTGAATTGACCAGAGGTGTGGAGGATGACGCCTGTACAACCGACTCGATCACGGAAGGAGCACTTGTAATCACCGAACTAGCAGTAATATTGGCAACCGGCAAACTTGAAGATACTGCCGCGGGATGGGTGAAGCCAGGCAAGCCTCCAGTGGTCGAAGCTGGGATCGCGCTTGTCGCCGATGCAGTAGGAGTAGCAAGCGAAGTAGACGTCTGCTCCTCTATGGGCGAGTAAGTGAACAGTGGAATCTGCCGACTTGTCTCGCTAGCTGTCTTGTTATCAACCGCCCCTACTGAACTCGACAGAATTCCAGTTTTGATGGCGGACGAGATTGGCACACTGACGCTTTCTGTTGGCGTAGGTTCCGGACTTTGTGTGACTGAAGTAGTGGCTACTGCGCTTGAACTCTCCTCGGTACTTGGCAAAGCTGATGGCGTGATATACGAGGTAGAGAAGACTGTCTGTGGATCTTGTGTTACAAGTGGTTTCCCGTCGGGGAGGACGAAAGTGATAGCTGGTGCTATCGAAGTCAAAATGGTTTGTTGGATTGGCTCCACTATAATAGCAGTTTCTGCTTCCGCAATTTGTTGTGTTGATGTTGAAAATGCGGCAGAGGTAGTGTTAGCATAACTCGTAAAGCTGTACGAAATCAGTGACTATTCTCGCAATATTCGAGTGAGCTTCTTACAATTGCCTCCGTTGATGCTTGGGGACCGGCCCGGCGATTATTGATGTTGAATAAGCTGCCAGCAGCAGAATAGTGGAGAAGATAGCCATCGTCAAGACGACACTTTATTAGGAGTGGATGAACGAAGGAAAGACGGCGCTTGCAGTCAAGATGGAAAAACGATGGACTGAAGGACAAGACTGAGATAGTGAACGATTAAGAGAAACGATCGACAAGGAGAAACAGACGGCAAGGAAAGAGAACAAGGAAAAGAACGAGAATCGTTCGTCTCAAGCAAATCACAGTCTAGACGTTCAGATGGCTACGGTGAGGGCCTCACTGCTGAGCGGGCTGGCAGCGGGTTTTGAAGCTGCATTAGCCGCCATGAGCACGGTTTGAGTATACAATGGAACAAAGAGTAGTACTGGCCCAGCATTGTCGCAGTGGCCTGTAATTTGGACGTGTCACGGGGGGCTCAGAGGAAAGTAGCGCTGGTGAGTGGAGGAGTGGCTGTGGTGCTCTGGAGCCGTGACATGGTGTTTCATCCGTGGACCAATGAGACGGCGACATGGCATGATAGAGCCACGACCTCAAGCGCCTGGCCGAGCGACTCTGCCTCCGGTGCAGAGCCTCCAGATCCCCATATGCCAGAAACAGCCTTTCGGAATGAGGCTCGATTACGCGACCCGAAGCCGTTGAGTGCTGCCGCTTGCCGCTTGTTCACGCAACACACTGCCGGCTCTCGGCTTTGCGATGCGTTGGAGACGTGGACCCTGCAGGATTTCTCCACAACGCCGCATCTCAACATTCACGATAGACTGCCAGCTAGATGCCTGCAGGTAGCAGGTATAGCTATCGACGATTTTCATAGTGGATCGAGATGTGTTGGCGGGTTTGCACGTGCCTGATGTTCATTCGTCTGGGCGGTGGGTGGTTGCTCAGGTAACAGGCGAGTTTCGACAAGGAAGAACAACACAGACCGCCATTCCGCTAGGACCAGGCCCTTTGCATTGGCAGAATATCGCCAGAGCTTCGACGTCACGTACGGTAGGTCCAGCATTCTTTTCTCTGTAGACGTAGCCTTTTGTTTCTCTTTTATCGTGCCGCCTTGCATCCTCGGTCTTCACCATGAGCGTACGCGTCGTCGCGAGGATACGTCCTCTTCTGAAACAGGAGCTCGACAAAGACACCATTGTCACCGCAGAGACATTGGACGGCGAGACTACCCCGGCCGTCGTACGGATACCGAGTCCCAAGAACGAGGCCGAGTCCTTCAGCTTCCAATTCAGCTCTGTGTACGAGCAGGACGCGACACAGCAGCAGCTTTTTGACGCCGAGAGTGAGTTCGCGATGGGACGCGTTTCGGGACGGAAGCTGACTCCAGGCTAGTCGCGCCGACGGTGAAGCATCTCTTCAATGGCTTTGATCTATCCATCTTTGCGCATGGCTGCACCGGCACCGGCAAGACCCATACGATGCGAGGAGGCAAGTCGCTGGCGGACCGCGGTGTCATCCCAAGGCTATTGAGCTCAATATACCGACGATGCAAGAAGATCGAGAAAGACACGGCCGGTGCCACACAAGTCGAGGTTGCTCTGGAGTACTTCGAGATCTACTGCGATCGCGTCTACGACCTGTTCGAACCCCCGGAGAAGCGCACCCCGTCTGGTCTGCCCATCAGAGACAACCACGGCAAGACCGTCGTCGTTGGTCTTACCGAGAAGCCATGCACAACACTGAAGGAGTTTGAGCAGCTTTACGATCAAGCCAACATGAACAGGTCCACCTCTGCTACCAAGGTTAGAGTCCACACGCGTCTGAGATGAACACTCCTAACGATACTGCAGCTTAACGCACACTCCTCCCGGTCGCATGCCGTCCTCTGTGTAAAGATCACGCAAACCACCGAAGAAAGTGTTCGCGTCAGCCGAGTATCTTGCATTGATCTTGCAGGATCCGAAGACAACAGACGAACCGAAAACAACAAAGAGCGCCTCGTCGAGAGTTCGGCCATCAACAAGTCGCTGTTCGTGCTTGCACAATGCGTCGAAGCCATGAACAAGAAAGCCAGCCGGATTCCATACCGCGAGTCCAAGATGACGCGAATCTTGTCCCTAGGCCAGAATAAGGGCTTGACTGTCATGATTCTGAACCTTGCCCCAACCCGCGCATACCATCTCGACACAATCAGTTCTCTAAACTTCGCTAGCCGGACGAAGAAGATCGAGGTCGCAGAGGTGGAAAACGACCCAATGTACAAGACGGCAGTTAAGCCACTGGCGACAACCACGAGCCTTGGTGGAGCAACCATGGCACGGCAACCGCTCAGATCGCTCGCGGCCAAAGCCAATGCGAACATCCCAGAGGCAGAGAAGCAGAAGAAAGGGGAAAAGCCTATCAAGGCTTTCTCTGTATACTCTGATTCTCACAAAGCTGCTCCTCGTGTGACTAACCTTGCACAGAACCAAGGAGTACGGAGAACAGAGGGTTCCAAGCGAGCAGCTGAACCTAGCACCACCTTTGCGACCCGACCGACAAAGGCATTCCGAACTGGGGATAACACCTCACGGATACCGAGTAAAGAGCCTGCGCTGACAAAAGCCTCGATTGAAGCTCTCATCGCACAGAAGGTCGACGAGGCTCTAGCAGCCAAGGCATTGCAAGATGCTGGCACAGCTGCGCCAGCGCTTTCTGCAGAGCTGCAGAAGCGTTTGGATGAGCTCGAGCACCGCATCGATGCACACGAAGAGGATGGAAAGTCGCAGGGCTTGCAGTTCCTGCTAATGGCCAAGCAACATCACATGCGTGGAGAAGATACCAGTGCACTGAGAATGTACCAACTGGCACAGCCATTCTTCCCTGGCAACGCAAAGCTAGAGTCCAAGATGAAAACACTCGAAGACCGAATACGCGCCAAACGGGAGGAAAGCATCAAGCACGTCTCTGCTCCCGTTGAACTCCCGTCGCACACTGCAGCCCCCGTCACAAACGTTCTCATGGCCCCCCTGAAAGCTGAAAAGAAGACCCCAAAGCCTAGGATAGTCTACAGAGATGAGTCCGAAGATGACGATGAATTTGCTCCCCCGCCGCCCTCTGACCACGAAGAATCCTACGCCTCCGACACTAGCTTCCAACACATCAGCAAACCCAAAGTCACCCGCAAGCCAAAAAAGACTACCAAGAAACTACCCATATTCCGTGACGACGCCGCTGCTACTGCTACCATCGATCTACCTGTTCATTCCGCCGCTCAACAAACACCTCGCACTTCGCACCTCCTTAAGATTATCAACTCACGAGACGTCAACCAGATCAAAGCGCTAAAGGGTGTGGGTGCAAAGAAAGCGGATAACATCGTAAACTGCCTGGTCGAAATGGATGATGCGGAAATTATGGATCTGGAATCGCTGGCTATGCTTAAAGGTGTTGGAGGCAAGACGGTGGATAACATGAGGATGGGGTTGAGCCTTAATACTAGTTACGATTTCTGAGCTTAGGCTCGCTTTTTGCTGTTCGTTCTTACCAAGCATGGTGTTCACGGCGTTTTTGGCAGCGCGCCTGTCGTGAGCGCATGTTTGCATTGCATAGAAATGGCGTTTTGGATTTGGTAGCAAAGACTGCCTTGCATAGTTTGGTCCTTGGAATTCCGACTCTTCATCACCGGTGCTTTCCGTAGAAGATGTATTATTCACTCAGGTTATCATAAAGGTGAAGGGATAATAGTAAATCGTTCAAGATATCATTATCATACAGGATCATAGCCTCAATCTCAACCCAGAAGAAAGTAACCGCACTCATTCAATCAAACTCGATCACCCATTAGGGAAGCGACTAAAACGGCCAAACCCAGTCCGTAGTCTCCTTAGGGTCCATGCCCTCGTGGTACGCATAGTTCTTGGCCTTGATCTGCTCATCAAGTAACTTCTCCCTCGTTGCCGCACCCTTGTTACCCAAGCTGGGGATGTTGTCGAGTGCGTCAATCGCCAAGCTGTAGCGGTCAGTACCATTCCTGATAGCCAGCTCGAGAGGAGTGTCAATGTTGCCCTTCTCCCTGTATCCGCGGACGATCAGGTTCTGCTGGCCCTTGCGTCCATATGTCAAGCGGTGGATCAGCCAGGGGTAGGAGTGGAAGTTGAAGATGCATGGTACGTCATCGGTGAAGATGGCCTTGTACTCGTGTGCCTTGAGACCGTGAGGGTGCTGCTCCTCGTCGATGAGCTTGAAGAGATCGACAACGTTTACGAAGCGGATCTTGAGATCAGGCAGATGTGTGCGTAGCAATGCTGTCGCGGCAAGGGATTCGTGTGTGGAAACATCACCACACGATGCCATGACAATGTCAGGCTCTTGATCCTTGTCATTACTCGCCCATTCCCAGATACCAACGCCCTTTGTGCAATGGGCGATGGCTTGCTCCATTGTGAGATATTGGAGGTGCTCTTGCTTGTCGGCAACGATGACGTTGACGTAGTTTTCGCTACGAAGGCAGTGATTCATCGTTGAAAGTAGGCAGTTGGCGTCTGGCGGGAGGTAGATACGGACAACTTCAGGACTCTTGTTCGCCACTACGTCGAGGAATCCAGGGTCCTGGTGAGTGAATCCGTTGTGATCTTGTCGCCAAACAGTCGCAGTACTAATTGTAGGTGTACGAAGTCAGCCTATGTCTCATATGCTTTTCGTACAGAGACACTTACAGCAGAATGTTGAGTGAAGCAATCTTCTGTCTCCACTCGACTTCGAGGCACTTCTCAATCCATTTACAGTGCTGGTTGACCATGGAGTCAATAATGTGGATGAAAGGCTCGTAGCTGTTAAGCAGACCGTGTCGTCCAGAGAGGATGTAACCCTCCAACCAGCCCTGAGCAAAGTTAGTATTACGGTATTAAAGAGGTTTGTGTATCTTACCTCTACAGTGTGCTCAGACAGCATCTCCATAACGCGCCCTTCGTAAGCTAAGTTACCACCATCCTCGTCCTCCTCAAAGTACTCGCCCATCCAGACCTTTTTGCCTGCCTCGTAAACCTTGCCGAGCTTGTTGGATTCAGTCTCGTCAGGACCAAATAGACGGAAGTCTTTCTGGTTCTCTTTGATGATGTCGCGCAAGAAGGCCGCGCAGTTGGCCATACTACCGACCTTGGCGACACCACCCTTGGTCACCTCGATAGAGTAGTCACGGAAGTCGGGTACGTGAAGCTTGTGGCGGATAAGACCACCGTTTGTGACAGGGTTGGCGCTCATCCTCCTGTTGCCAGTGGGGGCCAACTCTCTAAGTTCAGGAACAAGCTTGCCGTTCTTGTCGAAATGCTTCTCAGGCTCGTATGAGCGCATCCACTCTTCCAATATTTTGAGCTGAGACTTATCCTTGAGAACATTCGTAAGAGGGACTTGATGCGCACGCCAGAAACCTTCTAAGAAGTGGTCTCCATCGAGCTTCCTGGGTGCTGTCCAGCCCTTGGGTGTACGGAGCACGATCATGGGCCAACGCGGCCTGAAAGCCTTGCCCGAGTCTCTAGCCTGTTTCTGATATTCGCGGATCTTTGTGACACATCGTTCCATCGTAGCGGCCATAGCTTGGTGCATCGATGGGATATCGCTGCCCTCGACAAAATAGGGTGTCCATCCGTAACCAACGAAGAGCGCTTCGAGCTCCTTGCGGCTTACGCGAGCGAGAACCGTGGGGTTGTTGATCTATGCAGTGTTAGCCAAATCCTTCCACAATGCTAAGTGCCATACCTTGTAGCCATTCAAATGTAGTACGGGCAAGACCGCACCATCCGTGATCGGGTTCAGGAATTTGGTTGAATGCCAGCTCGTAGCAAGGGGACCAGTCTCAGACTCACCGTCTCCAACCATAGTCAGAGCGATGAGATCTGGGTGATCAAAGACCGTTCCGAAAGCGTGAGAGATAGAGTAACCTAGCTCACCACCCTCGTGCAAGCTACCAGGTGTTTCGGGTGTGGCATGAGATCCAATTCCACCGGGGAACGAGAAAGATTTGAAAAAGCGCCTCATACCCTCCTCATCCTCGCTCTTGTCAGGATAGACCTCGGAGTAGACTCCCTCGAGGAAACTGTTTGAGAGAACAGCGGGCGCGCCATGGCCAGGGCCAGAAATGAAGATAGCGTCCAAATCGTACTTCTTGATAAGACGGTTCTACAAAGTTACAAAGTTAGCTTTTTACGATTCGAGAACCGCATATAATTGTTCATACCATGTGAATCCATGTGAAGCTCTGTCCAGCATCCGATCCCCAATGTCCCAAAAGGCGTCGCTTGAGATGGTCCAGAGTGAGTGGGTCGCGGAGAAGAGGGTTCCTCCGAAGATAGATCATGCCCAAGCACATGTACAGAGAAGCATGGAAATAATCGGTCATCTTCTGCACCTCATCTTCGCTGAGCGGATGTTCGGTGACTGATGATCTTGCGGGCCCGTATGGGGAAATGCTGAGGTGCTCGACATCTTCAACTACTGTCTCTGGGTCTACTGGAGCTTTCGCTACCATGGCGTCCATGATCACAGGTTGTCTGAAAGGTCCGACCTTTCCTCCGTTCAGGTAAGGTCTCGAGTGCCGCTAGGTCTGGGAGAGGTGGCTGAATTGCGTGGGATATAGAGGCTCCAAAGAGCAATTGCAAGCAGAAAATACGTGTAGAGATTGAGGAGTAAGGGTCTCAGATAATGTTGGAGAGTAGAGGTAGAGGGCCTTTAAGCAGTCGCGCGGCAGTAGTCGCGGTTGCAAGCTTGGAAGCTGGTCAGCGGCAGAGCCGGAGACGCTCTCCTGATCCATTGAGCTCTGTCATTGGTGCTCTGCACGTAATCATGCTACTGCAGCGCGATACCATCATAGCTACAAATTCCTTTTGGGTCTGTTTGTTGGTTGCGTCATGGCCTGATGGACCGAGGTGGGGTCAACCAACAGTCACGCTAGTGGCGGCGCGTTCCTGTCAATCCTCGCCATCTGCCATACATGGCGTGATATATGTCTGAGCTGACTGAGCCGGCGACGAAGAGTACCTGGATACCGGATGTTTCTCTTTCCGCTTGTAAAATAAGAATTGTGCTCAATTTGGCGTGGCAGGGTTGATGCGCCAGTTCTGAGTATACCTTTAGCATGCTCTCAACAGCGGAACGCGGCGGACAAGCAAGCCTCCACTTCCCATCCAACCCTGGTTTCGGTGTCGGAACCTTTATCCGAGCGGACAATGATCTACGCAGGCATCTATCGCAAGTTTGCGACTAAAGCATCTTTGTACAGCCTGGGCAGACTCGTGGCCTCAGGGAATGCTTCAAACCCCCAATCCTTGCTACAATAAACCCTAGATCAAGTGAACAGATAACGTATCTCACTGCTCTAAAATATCTATAGTATATCCTTCAATGCATTCCATAATCTCCTTCCGCAGCAATCGTCCTCTGGCATTCAGCAAAGATGGCAGCCTGTCTTGCTACATCAGCAAGTCGCCCAACGACCAGCTTATTGCCATCGAGGAAACCATATAGCGCATACGGAATGTCGACCTCGTTACAGAACTCCTGAACCAACTTCTGGGTTTGTCTTAGGTTATGACGGGGGATCCGTGGATACAGATGGTGGATGGCCTGGAACTGAAGGCCACCGTGGAAGAAATCCAACCACTGAGGGCAGTCAACATCCATCGTTGTGCGAAGCATCTTCTGAGCAAATGACTCGTGGATACCTAGATCCGCTGTACTCATAGCGAAATGGGACAACGTGATTTGCACATGGAGTGGAGACGTAAGTGCGTGGGCAATCATAACAAACCAGAACCGACTCCAGTTGTCAGGTATGGACTTGTACACCACCCCGTAGCCGAACCAGGTCCAAAAAAATGCCATGCCTATCAACTCAAAGTATCGGTGCCACCATGCAGGCCCTTTCTTGGGGCCCTTTCCAAGGAGCAGATACATCCAAGACAATCTATACAGATTGAAGCGTGCGAACAGCATGATCGGGTAGTAGGTGTAGTGTTGAATTCGGATCATGAACTTTGCGAAGGCATCGTATTCCATGACCCACTCGTAAAAGGTCGTGGTGAGACTCTCCATAAATCGATGCGTGATAGAGAAGAAGGGAATGTATTGAATATCGGGATCGTGTTCGGGGTGGTTCGTAACAAGATGGTGCACGTTATGGTTGTATTTCCACCAGCAAGCGCTCAACCCGCCTACGTACGAGGCAATGAACATTGCGATGGTGGAATCGGTCGTAAAATCGTGGGTGATGCCCATGTGTCCGGCATCATGGACCGTGAATGTAAGCTGGTGCCAAAGGCATGCAAGCGGGATGGCACTAGTAATATACCAGCCAGATGATAACAAAAACAGGAATCCGGCTAAGAAGGAGCCATAACGTAGGCATTCGATACCGTAGGCGGTATAGTTGCAATCGTAGAGGCCTTCCTGCTTTATACGCTCTTGTAGCTCGCGGTACTTTTGTGTGATGTGATCTTGGGTGGCTGGATCTAGAGACGGGTATTTGGCCTTGTCGAAATTGAGCTCTTCCTGAGTCCGTCTATCAAGTACTGACATCTTCGGAGCGACGACATCTTCTAGTTCGACCGATGAGACACTAGAGCTTGAGGAGGCTCTACCAATGTCGGCTCCGTTGCGCTTGCGAATTGAAGCGGAAGATCGGTCCACCGGTTCAAAAAGAGGGCTGCTGTTGGCAGAAGAAGCTGAGCTTGCAGTCTCCTGTTCTGAAACCGAACATGATTCCATGTATTCTTCCTCAGAAAGCTTGTCCAGCTCTTCCTGTGTCCTGAACTTTCCTCCTTGCATCGGCGGTAGGAAGTTGGTCCATCGTCCTTCGATGCGGCCGATTTGGTAGCGGTTCATGAGCTCGAGCGTTTGGGCAGAGTGGAAACTGAGTATAGGTCAGCAGACAGCCTTGTTGGGTGGTTAAAGCAGGCATACCGAGTGACCTCGTCTGTTGCATCGCGTCCCACCATGTGCCGAATGGCTTTATCACCGCCAGGGTGGTAGGGTAGCCATGCATCTACCTTCAAGACCTTGTTGTCTACGATGACAATCGAGCGGCCATTGGCAATCTGAGCTTCGATCTCTCGCCGACTAAAGACCTTGGACTTCCTGTCTGCCCGGGCGGCCATGATGCGATGCGGTGTGGTACGCGAAGGGTATACAGACGGGTGTCCAGCTGCGGCTTCAATTGACAAAGGAATTTCAATACAGACGCGGCCAGACCATAACTCTGCGGTGTCTCAGAAGCAACTAGTTTCGCGGTGAGTTGCGCCGGAGCCAGCCAGTGGAACAGGAGAGGATGAGCTGATAAACTTCCGAAGCTTGCCTGGGCCCTGCACGCCAACGCCCCCACGTTGCCCTCGCCACATCCCCAGAGCCGCACCCAGAAGCGGCATCACATGCCATCGCAAGAACATCTCATTGCGTGAAGGCTCCGGATGCCTAAGCAGGAGCTCACCAAGTTCCACACGTGAGGCCAGAGAAATCTCAATGTCTTGGAAAGCATAAATCTGGCAGGTGCCCACTTGAGCCTGCTGTCGCCCGCTTTCTGTCGGCAAACTCCGACACTCCTTCACTCTGCCGCGCCTGCCACTACATGACCATCCTATGCTGACTAACGTCCCTCGACTTCTAATCTTTCTATTCGTTCCATAGTCCTTTGCGAACAACTTGCTCAACACAACCTTCATTCCGAAAATCAAAAGCTCGACAATGACTCAAGACATCAAAGAATTGGCGAGGCAATGGCTGGAGCTCGACCAAGACAAAACGACTACAGATGAAATCTACAAGCTGCTAGTTGATGGCGATACCGACGAGCTCGAGAAGCGACTTCGACATCGCATCGCTTTCGGGACAGCTGGACTCAGAGGGCCTATGCAGGGCGGGTTCGCTTGCATGAACTCTCTGACGGTGATACAAGCTTCCCAAGGACTTGCAGCTTACCTGCTCAAAACTGAAGAGAATGTAAAGAGAAGGGGTGTGGTAATTGGCAGAGACGCGCGGCACAATTCAGAAAAGTTTGCTAAGCTCACCGCAGCCGCTTTTGTTGCAAAAGGCATCAAGGTGTGGTGGTATGAGGAACCCAGCCATACGCCCATGGTTCCCTTTGGCGTTCGCGAACTCGAAGCCGCTGCTGGAGTTATGATCACAGCCAGTCACAACCCGGCCAAAGACAATGGATACAAGGTCTACTGGTCAAATGGCTGCCAGATCATTCCTCCACACGATAGTGGAATTGCTGATTCCATCATGGAAAACCTGAAGCCTGTCACTTGGGATACGACGCTGGTAGATTCTTCGCTCCTTGTGGAAGGAAGTCTAGGACTGGTACAAGACAACTACCATAGAGCCATCCTTTGCGCTGCGCAGCCCGAGCATGTCCAAGTCAAGATGGACCCAGAGCTCAGATTTGTGTATACCCCTATGCATGGTGTTGGCCTTCCCGCCATGCAGCGATGTGCAGAGACACTTGGTGTGGCCTCGCAAATGACTGTGGTGGAAGCTCAAGCAAAACCAGACCCTGACTTCCCCACCGTGAAGTTTCCAAACCCTGAAGAGAAGGGTGCGCTTGACCTGGCAATCGAAACGGCCGACAAGTCATCCACACGCCTCATCCTCGCCAGCGATCCTGATGCAGACCGACTCGCGGCAGCAGAGAAGGTAGGAGACAGATGGCATATCTTTAGCGGAAACCAACTTGGAGCGCTGCTCGGATCGTATCTCTTCGAACGTTACCCGGAGACAAAACCACGAGAGAAACTTGCGATGCTGGCTTCCACCGTCAGTTCCAGGATGCTCGCGGCTTTGGCGAAGAAGGAAGGCTTTAAGTTTACCGAGACTCTAACCGGATTCAAGTGGCTTGGAAACGTCGCGCGACAACTCGATAGCGAAGGCTACGATGTCGTCTACGCGTTCGAAGAAGCCTTGGGATACATGATTCCACAAACCGTTCATGACAAGGACTCCATCAGCGCAGCTGCAGTATTCCTCACTGCTGCGTCGCATTGGGCCACGCAAGGTCTTACTCCATACGCCAAGCTGCAGCAACTCTACGAGTACCTTGGCTACTTTGAGGACGCGAACACCTATCTCGTATCGCCATCCCCATCCGTGACGACGTCCGTGTTCACAGCCATCCGCGCACTGGGCAGCCCGCACCCCACCACCATCGGGTCCCGCAGGATTGTGCGTTGGCGAGATCTGACACTAGGCTATGACTCAAAGAGCAAGGACCACAAGCCAGATCTGCCGGTAGATGTCACTAGTCAGATGATAACATGTGAGCTAGATGACGGGGCGGTATTCACAGTCAGAGGAAGCGGAACCGAACCGAAGATCAAGCTTTACATTGAGTGCCAAGGCAAGAGCAGCCAAGAGGCGAAGAAGGGTGCCAACGAAATATTGGATGATCTTCTGCGGGAATGGTTCAAGCCTGAGGAAAACGGCTTGAGACTTGCTTAGAGTAAGATCATGTGGATTGGTTAGCTTCAATACTTTTGAGAATATTGTATGTATGTCTATGTGCAAGATTAAAAGGCGGCGCCATTGTGAGTGCCAAAGTACTATTGATTGTCTCCAGAGCTCATCTCAGGTGATAGTATCAAGCAAGCGCATCTTCTCGTGTTTATAAAATAAACATCGCATTCAATGAGAAAATAGACATCATTCGTCTTCTCCTTTATCCTCTGGTTCAACTGGATTGGGACATCGTTTTATACTGGCGAACCACTTACCTTCACCCGCAGCTTCACCTGGAGTTCTCAAGCCACAAAATTTCCACACAACTGCTTGTATCTCCAATAAAACATCCTGCCTTCTACTTCCCTACCACCCAGTTACTCTCTGCACGTAAGACATCTCATTTACCTCACAAATAGGTCTTATCCAACTGCTTCCGACGCGCCTAACGCCTACTATGGCAACTACACTCATCGCTGACCTTCTGACCTCCTGGAACAACCCAAACGAGGCAGTCGACGTCGAAGTATCTGGCGCACCGCAGACCTATCAATGGACCAAAGGACAAGTCAGGGCCCAGTTCCGGTTCAATAATCAGCCCCTCATATGCTGTCCTTTTCTCCCGGCCCCTGTCATCCCAACCGCTGTCATGAACATTAACTATTCACGTAATAACTTACCTGCTCTCCAATACTACATGGACCAAGACCCGTTCTGGCTTGCCCATCGGATTCTCTTCCAATCCCAATTTGTATCAGCCGCTCGCTTCACCACTAACGAGTGTTACTTTCTCGCGGAGGAGGGCGAGCCAACTGTCCAGTTAAATGGAAGGCCGTTGTCCGAGGGGGAACGCTGGCAGCTTCATCATGAGCCTGAAAAGATGGATATGAAAGACTTCCAGCCCACGGAACTAAAGATGAAGAAGGGGATTGTGATGAGGATTCCGCCATACACGGTGTACTGTTTCTTGGTGGCGGACGGTTCGCTGATCACGACGGGAGGTATCGTTCCGAGGGGTTTCCAGGCTGACAACGGGATGATGCGATGATGGGCTCGTTGGACTTTGAAGAGGAAGATTAAATGACAGACGGTGTTGTTTGGTTTCTTACACAAGCTGGAGACTTCTTAACGTACCATGGTGACCAATTCATGTATACTTGGGTAATGCTCAATGTGAAAGTTATAACTCCGGAACGCCAGTTGGTAGGGTGGTACATGGTGGCAGAATATTCGTTCCAGCATCCATAACAATACCAGAATGTGCACGCGACAAGAATCCTCGGTGTAATACGTAAGTGCTTCGCGGCCTGCAATGCGATGGTGTGTGTGGGTGCGCATCATGTATGCAACACAGACAAGAATTGGGTCACAAGACGCGAGATGCGCCCTACTCATCATAAGATGGGACGAGCTCCGACAGATTCTTGTATCGCAGAATGATGTATCATTTCCTCGACTAGCGCCCGCCTTCCCGTTCGAGACCCTGTCAGATGCATGGTAAACGCAGCGCTGACGACAACTAGTAACATATAGTTTCTGCCTTGGACAGATTTGTCGGAAACCGAGGCTGATGTCTGGGTCCAAACTTGTCGCCATACGCAGCTATCATGGTCGGGCCTGCTGGACGTGCAGATGCAATGCAGATGCGCGACGGTCCTCCTCGAGTATTGGCCAATGAGCGGCATCCCATGTGGATTAGAAAGATGCCAAGTATAGGGTCATGGCTGCCTTGACAAATGAGGAACCAGCATGCAAGGCTGGAGAGGCTGTGAGGAAATCGCTTTTTCGCATATGTATCAGGGCTGCTATGGAGGGTTTACTTTTTACTCTTCGCAAGCCGCGCATGGCGTTTATAGCCTCGCTGGATTCGATGGATGGGTAGCCAACGGCCAGGGTGTTCGGCCGGCCGTCAGCTAGACAGGGTAGCCGGAGGAATGCGGCGCCTCAACCTATCATGTCGTCGACTTTGTATCGATAGCCCATCCCGCGCGTACCCAGACTCCGGGGAAGTGTTACAGATGCCCGTCACTAAGCCGTTGCTGGTTGCATGCATGCGTGCTAAAGAGTCACGGCCCAAAAGTATCCACGGCCTCTTTCCCCTCTGCATGCCCACCAGTTCTGTCGCGTCAGTCGCGCGTCCTTCAATCTCCGCCCTGCCTGTATATAAAGACCCTTTGCATCCCCCCGCGGTGACGAGCTGGTTTTCGCAAAGTGCTCGCAGAATCTTCGGTACGCGCTCGGCCCCACCAACATCTTTTCTTGAAATCGTGCTAACGGGAGGGAAGCCTCGACAGGAACAGCGACATGTCTCACTCTTAGACTTTTCGCGTCCTCTGCGGGATGCTCAGCTATCAACACCAATGGCGGGTTTCGTGGACCCAGATCCAAACATCACGCGACAAAGCAATTATATACCCTTACCACCACCAACACCTTCGAGACGATCGCTTCCAGACGGGCCATGCAACTATCGCGACGCGAATGTAGGACAATGTGGATGTGATCAATTCTGGGACAAGCTCAGTGCTGAGCTGCACGATGAGAGCGCTGAGCACAGGCCTAGCAGTGAGCGCTCGACGTGGTGTGTTTGCGGGCACCATGCCTGCTTCCATTTGAGGGCATCGCGTGCGCCAGAAAAACCTGCGCCTTTGACAAATGCGCCGTTTCAATCGCTTCATGTGAGAGGTGAAGAGCGGGCCCAATCGCTGCCACGTGCGCCGTGCGACATGAATGCTGGTTTGCGACAATTGGAAGACAACCTTCTGTCCGAAGGGGGCAAGGCCAAATACAATGAGCGCATGCACCAGCTGCCTAGTCCCGGTCAGCGACTCTTGCAACAGTCTACTCACACCAACTCATTCAGTCGCTTGCTACAAAGTCAGGACACTCCTTCACAAACCAGCACGAGCGGCCTTCCTGGAATTCCTTCAGTCTGCTTGCTATCTCATGAACGGCGCCCAGTGGCTAACAACGAAGCTAGGAATGGCGTAAATCAGTCGCGCCAGACGGTGGCGGGTCTTGGTCTTTCTATGATGAACCTACAGAGCATGGATCGGATTAATCGTCAGCAGTCGCCTACACCGACAATACCCGACGATATCAACATCGTTCATACCCCGCGAAAGCCCTACAACGAGCCGAGTAACCCCCCAGACAGGGCTCACAGGGTCCAAGACGAAGCAAACATCATCAGTCCATCGCGCGGCATTCTTGAGCAAGTCTTCGAGTTCAACCGCAACTTCCAGCCTGACGAGCCCGGCGACACCATACCGAATACCTACAATCCCGACGACTACATACAGAGCGCTACCGAGGTGGCTACTCCAAGTGTTGGGAACACACCAGATCTGAGTGCTGCGGATCGGGCAGTACAGGATGGGAAAGATATGATTGAAGCAATGAAGCGGATAACTTCGGAAATCCAACAGCAATCCGCCGGCTCATCAGAAGGACAGACATATGCCACGGTTCCCACTCAGCTCTTGCCAAAGAACACTCCTGCAGCGCCACAGGAACAGCTGCAAACCCTCCTCCAATCGGCTCCTGCACAAAGCCTCCAGAAGCTCGTCTCCTACCTTGCTCCTCTTCACAACCTGTTAAACTCCATACCTAACGTAGCTAGCACTATGCAGGAACTTGGCAGCCGCCTGGATTTGCTGGAGAATGGATCCTTCAATTATGTCCAGCCCGAAGATCTGAATCAGACCTTGGAGATGTATGAGGGTAGGCTCATTGATGTGGAGCATCGTTTGGACGAACATGAACGGATGCATCAGGCCATGGATGACCAATCTAGCAACAGCTCTTTTGACAGAAGGCGCTTAGATAATGTTACGACGTCGTTCGGCTCCGTAGACTCGACCACTTCTTCAGCCCTTGTTCTCGCAGCCATGGATCGCAAGGATACTGAGATGGAACTTGACAACATCAAGGACAGATTGAATGTGTTGGAAGCTGCAGCGCCACCCACATCGCTGCAACCTTGGGAGGTGGAAGTCGTCCTGTTGCCATGGGGCCCTGACCTGAAAGGCATCTGGTTCTCGCCTGAAGAACCAATGCATGATGTAACCAAGACAACGCAAAATTCCGAAGAGTGGACTCAAGCCCGGACGTCCAAGGCTATCACTATACCATTCCTCGGACGAGACACAGATTCCAGCCCCTATCCTGTAACCCGAAACTCAAATAAAGACTCCGTGCCAGGTCAGATTGAGAACGGATGGAGTAGCCAAGACATCAGTAATTGGGCTTCAGGGTCTACGGACGACTGGCTATTCCCGAAAGCCTGTGGAAGTAATAACCTAGTCTACAAGCGACTCCAAAGTAGGGGTTTCGTGCGAGATGTTACATTCAGAGGCTCTAGTGCCAAAGATATCCAAGAAGCTCTGTCACACGCCTTTTCCGACGTGTTCGACTATCTGCAGTACGATGACAGCGACGAAAACCCTATGATTGCTACATACCCTGGTCTTCGGGCGCCGTACATACCTTTACGAAAAGTAATTAAAGAATCGCGGCTACGATTTCTTACGCCTGCTGAGATGTCCAGTAGCGCGCTCTGGAATGCCCAATTCCTTTCTGCGGGCGTCATGATGAGAGTCTCTGGCGGAAAGAAAAGGTTATACGTGACGGTCCGCGAAGCTTATACACAGCAAGTCGACCGCAACGAATTTGTCGTCATGGAACAGTCATGGCCGGAACTGCGACAGTTACCTCGCTGTCAACCTAACAAAGACTCACAGATGGAAGGCATCGACGAACATGGCCAGCCTCATGTTCCAGAGGCTGATGCAAAAGAAGCATGCTGGCAGTTTGTTGAGACATATGATGCGCCGCCTGCCAGTGTACATTCCTCTTTTGGAAGCAACCAGTCAGTTCAGCTATCGATGCGTCCTGCTGGGCGAAATTGGCGGAGATCGATTACCCCCAACTCGATTTTGAAAAATAAGCAACCCCAGCCCATTTCCCCATTGAGCGAGAACCACCCACAACGCCCGCAATACTATCGCAATCGCACAGTCTCTGCTTCAGTCATCGACACCCACCCATCCCGCTTGTCAAAGCGCCGCCTCCATGCTTCTACCACAGAACAATTTTCTGCCCCACAGCCAATTTCGCATGCACCTAGCCTTTCAATGACGAGATTGAAGCGACGCCGTGTTGCGAATTCCTCCTCCCCACGGCCTGAGACTGCGCAGGTTCCAATATGGAATGCGACTCCACGTCACTCACGAGAACCACCCTCACCATTCTACTCATCGCAGCCTGCCCTACCGCGATCCAACTCAGATGTCATGAGCAGACCAAGTCAGCGCTCTGCTGCCGTTGCAGGAAAGTCAACGCCTTTCGCATACGCAACGCCGCATTCGGGACCTTTTGTGGGCGGCCCTGGCTTCAATGCTTACAACAACGGCGGCGATACTGAACCCGATGACGACAACGATGACGGCGAGCAAAGCTGGCCCGGTGTCACTGACGGCGACAATGATAGCGCCTCAGCGCCAGATTTTGAAATGAGTGCAAGTTCTGCAGAAGAAAGCATTAAATGCTTCTCAAGCGACGACGGAGAGGATAGTGACGCGGAACTGCATGCGTTTGCACAACGCCAGCTAGCCGAGGATAGTGATGCCGAAGCACATGCGTATGCGCAAGCGCAACGTCAGCTAGACGAAGAAAGCGAAGAAGACGATGTTTTTGACTCTTTGCTTAGTATCATTGAAGCTTAGACCCTCGTGAGCGTTACTCTTATAAGGTCGATTTGGGTGTGGCGTAACACCACGCATCTCAAACATAGGATTCTGGATATTTACGTCCAGTCAAGAGAACATGAAGAGAGATGAGGCACACATACACCATTTTGGGCGTTCTGGGTTAGACAATCTTGTACTATACCGCTTCCTTTGTATCTCCAGCGATGTCTTCATTTCGGACCCTAGCCGGCAGGGTATTTCTGTATACTACTAAGATTGGCATCAGGGTATGGTTATACGGTTCAGCGTTCGGTGGTGTCAGCCCATCTTCTCTCTCCCCTTATGGTGGCTGAGTTAGGGAATATATATCTCATATGAATTAGTGGGAACTTCTTCTCATTTCCATTCAGGTGATGCGTCGACACATACGTACACGTATGCCCACGCACTCACTCGTCTCCGGCTACGCCCTCTTCACAAGAATCGCACGTATATGGTCACTCTACACTGTCTTCCTTCTACACCCAAGCTCTACTCTTCTGACTACCTGTATCAACTCTGTACATTGACATATCAGCACAAAACCCAGCCACAACAGACGATGTGTACAAGTTACAAAATCCGTTACCTCCCTTGCAAACGCAAAGGATACGACCTCTGCGTCACCGCAGATTTCCAACAATGCAAAAAGGCTGAAGAGAGTCGCGAGAGCTGTACCGCGCCAACCACCAGAACCTTATGGATCGACTACAAGTGTCCCCAACATGGAGGACCGACACCGCAGGAAAGAGAGAAGCTGATGAAGGAGAGGGGATCACATGGCAGTGATAGGCAGATTGCGATCAGGAAGGGAGACAGGCCGAGTAAGTGGAAGGGCGCGCTTTGTGTAGTAATGTGACGAGAATTCCTTTGTAGATTGGCGTGAGAGTGCAAGACTAGCCATAGCTTCAATGGTGGTTTCGAATGGAGGGACTCTTTTGAGGAGTTAAGGTGCGCAAAGTATCAGCCTCATTGTCGAATATCATTGGTTGGCCAATCTTATCAGTTTCAGGCCACAGACCTTTCTCGCAGCTTCAGGAACCGCATTCTACGATACTACATGGAGAGACAAGTATGCCTGAGACTGGGTATGCGCGTATGGTACACAAGCAAAGAGTAGCTTGGAGCGGACCCGCAAAAAGTGGGGAAGACCGTCCCAATCCATACTGACCTCGGCTGGTAACCAGCTTGAACATCACAACGACGCGATCGTGACATGTGCGTCCCTGTAACAACAACAAAGAGATTCCTCCTTCCCTGTCTTCAGTGTTCATCTGCAATTCACCACTAAAGACATTGTATAGATTGGTCATACAAGCATAGCGATTAACAAAATGGCGTCAGCAACGTCCCAATCACACCCTCTCTTACAGGCTTCCTCGGCTGCCTACGCCATCTTGGCAATTGGCCATACAGTAGGCGCAGAGCCCCCTATGAATAACAGTATGCTAACATTGACTGTAGATGAAAGGTCTCGATCAGTTCAAACACCCCACGATGAACACCCTCCCGGTCATGCTCCGTGGTGCCAGTAAGATTGGTTGGTACGAAGGCAGCGGTTTCTTCCTGATGATGAGTGAGTCCATGTTTGATGTTTTGTTACGCTTCCTCGTTTAATAAAAGTCTCCGTAGGCATCCTCAATTATAAATGGTCGGTTACTGGTATCTACGATGTATACGACAAGAGCATCGCAGGCATCTTGACGGGTATGCTAGCTGCTGCTGGTGCGGCTTACTGGAAGAGCAACGATAAACCTACAGCCGTTACACTGGCTGTTGTTGCAGTTTTGCAGGGACTTGGTATGAGGAATGGTTCGTATTCCCGTTTTGCGTAGGTTCTGTGGCGCACACGCAGCAGGGTCAACCACCTCATAAAAGGAAAATACATTATCATTACTGGTATGCCAGACCCCACTATTGAGCCTGCTATCGAAGAAACCATCATCGTAAACTCGTAAGTCATGAACAAAGGAAATGATGGGTATAAAAGCCATGGTCGCCGTTGTTGAGATACTGAATCGTTAAGACCGTGAAAGTCATCTAAAGCATTACCCGTACTGTGAACGCCGTCACCTTTTATGAGCCATCTTGATACTCATAAGAATTCCGTAAGCTGAAACTTTCCGACTGCCTACTCGCTTGCATCCTGGCTCTTCTTGATGCTGACAGGAACGACCCGCTTGTTGCTGCCGAGCAGGCGCTCGAGGCGAGCGACATAGTATTCGGCGAAGGTCTTACTGCTGTCCTTCTTCCACTCGTCGTCAGCCAGCTGCTCAAGGCGGAGACAAGTACGATCGACAGCCTCTTCGACCTCTTCAGCCCAGTTGCTCTTTTCAGTGACACCGTTGCTCTTTTCGCTAGCCTGGTCGCTTCCTTCAATGACAGTCTTGAGGGACCCGGTGCTCGTCTTCACGAGCGTAGAGGGAAAGCAAGGGGCGACCGAGTTCGTGGGCAGGTCATCAGAGGTGAAAGTCAGGTACTCGACGATGCGCGGGTTCACGGCGGGGGAGCCTAGAGCAATAGGTACTGAGTCCTCATTCACATCGATGGGACCAAGATTCTTACGAATTTGCCCGGAACCTTGCTTGTCCCTACCACTGTCACTCAGTACCTCGGAGATGCTCGCAATATCGGCTTCTTCATCCTCGGCGACAGATGCTTCGGGCGAGTAGTTGCTCGAGCCCACGTCTCCTTCGCGGTTGCGGAGCTTGCGGTCATTGAGCTTCAGCTGCACGAGTCTATCGCCAATCAAACTGAAGCCGCGACCGCGTGTCAATGGGTAACGGTACGCTATGGATGGAGCCGGAGAGCCGTATACAGGCGTGTTGATAGGTGGGGATGGGAAAGCTGCCTCCATAGCGGCCTCGTTGAGTGATTCCTGAATAGGAGCAAGGATCTTGGCGACAGCCGTGTAGTCCATCTCCGGAGGAGGATCGACAGGCTCGTAAGGACTACCTATAGGTTCAGTCGCCGGCGTCGGGTGTGGCACTGACGGGCCATCGGATTGCGAATCCAAGGAGGTGACTTTGGTTGTAGTGTTGGACGTCATGGTGGAATCGGAGTCAAGAGCCGGAGTTGGAGTATAATCAATTTGACTGTTTGGTCTTATTAGTATTACTGCGATATTCGTGCTCTGTAATAGGTCGAATGCGTAATCCGGGTTCGAGGTTGTGAAAAGATGTTGATGATGGGAGTGCAAGCTAGCTTACTTATACGAGCAACTGACGCTTAATTATAATGTTAACGCGGTCGATAATTTTTGACGGTGAAATCAGATCGTGAAGAGTCGCGGATGGTTGTGATAGATCCGAGTGTGGGGAGCGAGAGGAGCGTTTGTGGAGAAGGTGCGTGCGCCTACCTAAAGTTGAAGAACCGCGAAGCAACAAACGCGTGATGCTTCACGCAGACACGGAAGTAGCCGCACAGTTCAGACCTGTCTATGCAGTAGATGGCTAGCGGGTACAAACGGTGTATCGAGTGAAAGATGTAATCGAAGACCATGGATTGAATATAGCTGAATCGACACTTCATTTATACTCTTCGCGGCAAGTGCTCCAAGCCGGCGCTACGCACTGAGTCCACACTGCGCTGTCGAACAGCTTCAATTTCACCTGACGGCGTCCTGAATACAGAGGTGCTGGAGGGCAGGTCGTGGAGCGCAATGCCAGATGCGACTACCGCCCCTCCATCAGACTCACTCACGCCCGGGTTGCTTCTTTCCTCTTTTTTCTTTGCAGCGTACCAAGTCGGGAGGTTGTAGTAAGCCCCGCAAACGAAAATTCCGATCCAAAGCACCAGTTCGGTGCCATAGATAACCAGGCCCAGAATATCAAGCCTTGGCTGAAAGACGACTGACACCAAGGAGAAGAGATCGCCAAGGGCATCGATGCCTACGAATATGAAGGAGATACCTCTGACAGTACGATGGACGTAGATGTCCCAGTAGTGTCTCATGACACCAGCAGCAAGTAGAGTAGCTGAAGCAACTGCCATAAGCACACTGGGCCAGTGAAGATCCTCTGCCTTCGCATGTTCAATAGCAAAAATGAGGCCGGCTTGAATGCCACCCATCAAACAAGCCACCGGGATGACAACAGCGAGGGAGCGGACAACTGACCAACTCTATTACACGTTAGCCGCCATACTCGAGAATACTCTTCGAGAAGAACTAATGACCTTCTCGTAGTAGTAGCACTGGATCCAAGTTACTAGGCTCAGGATGGTAAGGATCTGAGGCTGGATCCGTAGCGCAATGTTGTATTCTTCTGCAATGTTATAGACTCCAAGTGGGACTCCAGCCCATGCCCAAAGCATCATCATAGTTGGCTGGAGTCCAGTAGCATTATGTCTGCGATAGTTGATAACGATCTGGGGGATCAACTACGTCGCGTTGTTAGTTGAGCTCCATTGGCCATGGTGGCTTAAAGCGTTTGTATACCTGAACGGACCAACACACCTGTTCTTGTTAATACAACCACCTCAAAAGTCCAGGATATACATACTGCACCTAGTGTACCTAGTACGTTCGCGGCTACTGGTACGTCCATGATCGACACTCAATAACCGATATGTTTGTTGAAGGGGTCCGTTTGTAATGTTCAGGAGCTGTCGTTCATTAACACCTCCACTGCACGTCCACCACGTCCTTCTTAACAATGCGCCAAGAGCAATTGGAGAGCAAGAGCATGTCGCGAGACGCACTACGAAATCACGGATGCACGAAGTTAACCAACCGAGATGGCGATGAATTACCCGCAGATGTACCGCTGTTACGGCGAAAGCGCGACAATACATGACATGGTTGACCCTGGGAAGCTGCCTACCTCCGAGGTCCGATCTTTGAATAGCTTAGAAATCACCACTTGAGCAACGCAACATACCGCGACCACGATAGCGTTTTCGAGGCAGTAAAACATGGCGCAGGATTCGACGCAGACCGACGAAGGGCAGGACATAGCGGGAAGGCCCGGGTACAAGAAGCTGGCGAATGGCATTATACTCGGTCCAGATGGCAAGCCGTAAGTACCGTTGACTCTGGAATGCGCCGGAAGACATGCACACAGTACAACGACCAATGTTGTAGAGAAAGCGTACGCTAACATCTGTGTTCACTTTATAGATGCCGAACCTGTAACGACGTAACCTCTCTCTTTGCCTTTGCAGGCAAGCTGCCCACAAAACGCACTCCTGCTGCTGCCACTCCGACCACCGCCGAGACCGCACCGTCCCTGCCCGCAGATTGCCCTCCCGACGTTGAGGCTCTCGGTCGCTCATCTTGGACTCTATTACACTCCATAACTGGCGCCTACCCAGCGAATCCATCACCACAATTACAGTCCGAAACCAAGTCCTTCCTTACCACGTTTGGCAAACTCTACCCGTGCTGGGTGTGCGCAGAAGATTTCCAGAAGTGGATGCAAAAGAACACGCCAAGAGTGAGCAGCCGAAACGAGTTCGGAGAGTGGATGTGCGAGGCACACAATGCTGTAAACGAGAAGCTGGGGAAAGAGCAGTTTGACTGCAAGAGGTGGGAAGAGCGATGGAGAACGGGATGGAAAGATGGAAGATGTGACTTCTAGACGTCAAGGACACATGGACACGTGTTGATGTATGATTATGTGTATACGAAGAGCATGGGTGGTGGGTCATTCATAGTGAAGGACACCACTCTGTACGAACACGGACTAGATACCGGCATTGGGCGGCGTTCCAAGGTTACAACAACTCAACCATCTCTACATGGCCCGCAACAAGCTACGCTCATTATGTAGCCCGGTTCTTTCTTCGTGGCTTCCTATGCGACACATGCTTCCCCCACCTCCCCAGCTGGTTCGGTACCAAACCCCCAAAGTCTCGAACACAATGCGGTGTGGTACCATAACAGACTATGATCTCACAACGTGTAATGATGCACACGCGACTATCCGGAGTCTGTATCTTAGAAGCTGTGCATCTACTAATGTCCGTTGTGATACCCATGTGCGCATGTTCATCGCAACTCAATTCATATATATCAACCATCTCAGCCAAACACTACAACAGCAGCAACAGCGGGACACGGCCGTTACTGCCACCATCTTACTGATGGCGAGCAAGCACAAAGCCGACTCCTCGTCTTCTCCGGAAGACGCGAATACGCACATCGACCGCAACTCTGTCATCGCATTGTCAATTATCCTCTTCCGGGTCCTTGTAGCCATCGCATGGTACCTGCGCCTCCACTATACGCACAAGCGACAAGCAGACTTAGAGCAGCAGTCGCGATGCGGACAAGGCCGTTTCTATCAAACAATGGAGAGGGTTACATGGAACAGACGATGCGATTCTTGTGGTGAGGAGATTGGCAGAGTTAAATCAGAGAGCTTATTCAAGTTAAAATCAGTCTCACTGAGAAAAGATTCTGTTGCTACATCCTCATCGAGAAGTAGTTCAGGGACAGAGAACGTGCAGGGAAATAGGGAGAAGAGGAAATGGCCCGGGTTATCTCAATGGCGAATACAAGGTTCTAGGACTTCGATGTTGGGGCCAAATGCTCTTGCTCTTCATCAAAACACTCTCCCTCTGACGTCTACTGAAAGACCTTCTCCTACGCATTCTCGTCGGCAATCTCAACGCGGCTCCTTCGATCCTCTTCCTCTTCATAATCCTCTTTATCACACATCAGGTCGACGGCGCAGCTCCTCGCTCTCGCAAGATGCATACGATAAGCGATGGTGGAATGAGGTCGCTCGACGAGGATCCACAACGAGTCCTACACGGCGATGGTCTATTTTGGACACTGTGCTAGAGCCGGGAGTCAGGGGTCACACAGGCGATTCCCGAGCTGCCGGTGGATTCAGTACCGTGAGCAGGGATCATGGTGGAGGTAGTACGGGTAGTGCGCATGCATCCTGGAGAGGAAGTAGAAGTGAATCGGTCATGTATGATTGGACACGACCCACGGATGCTGAAGTGCACGCAAAGAACTTTGGAGATGTGATCTGGGACGGGCCTCATTGTGGAAGGGGTAGTCAAGAGGAAGAGAACATTCAAAGCATGGATTGGGCACTAAAGATGTAGCATATCCCATAGAGAGCGCTTACTTCGTCGCAGTTGAAAGGTCAATGTGAAAATTGCAAAGAAGCAATGCATTCCTGTCTTTTCCTATCATAAGTACTGTGGGTGTAGGAGATTTCTTTCTGTACGGAGCGCGATTTGAAGCGCATCTCCCCATATCTTCCATGCTGTCATTGCTAACATTATTTCTTCTGCTGAGAATCCAAATTACAGGATGATTGTAGACCTTCCTCGAATATGGTAGTGAGCTCAGACCAGCTAGCTGTGGACAAGTTCCAGAAATCGACTCGATGGTGGTATCTTGTGTATATCTCGCACTTTGGGGGGAAACGTGAAAGTTTACCGCATAATCTCCTGGTAGATGAGGACTTTTGAATGTTAGCAGAGATTCAACACAAGAGCAAGATGATGACGTACGTTTGAGCTGCTCCTTGGTCAGATTGTCCTTGTTCTTGTCAAAATCGAAGAACTCCTCTGGGATAGGGTCGGCCGTCGGCTCGTCATCTGGGTCATGGTACGGCTCAAGGTATGGGTGCTTGAGCGCTTCCTCGACTGTGATTCGCTTGACAGGGTTGAAAGCGAGTAACCGCTCGAGCAGGTCAAGCGCCAGATCGTTGGTCTTAGGGAACATGGCCTTCCACGGAATCTTCTTCTTGAATGGCAGCGATCGAATGTATTCACGGGCTCGGCGGGACTTGATGCCGTAGTAATCCTCCATGGTAGGCGTACCGAGCACATCGAGAATCAGCGTGAGTTGGTGGTGGTCTGACTGCAGTTAGCAAGGAGCTCCTGGCACATCCAATGTGCGCAATACTTACAGTCCTTTCCTGGGAACAGAGGCTTTCCGCTAAGCATCTCAGCCAGAATGCATCCTACACTCCATACATCGATGGCCTTTGTGTACTCCTTGAACGTAAGCATAATCTCGGGCGCACGGTACCAACGCGTCGCAACGTATTCCGTCATGAAACCTGAGTTGTCCTCGGTTGAGGCGGCTGAGCGGGCAAGACCGAAATCGCAGACCTTCAGATCGCAGTTGGCGTTGAGGAGCAGATTGGAGGGCTTAAGATCGCGATGGAGGACGTTTGCTGAGTGCATCGCCTTCAGCGCGCGCAGGGTCTGGTAGATGAAGTACTGGCAATGGTCGTCTGAAAGCTCTTGTGTGCGAATGACGCGGTGCATGTCGGTCTCCATGAGTTCCTACGTGCTGTGTTAGCCACGGTTGAATGCTGTGAGATTCGCGGGCTACGCACCTGAATTAGGTAAACTTCGGTGAAGGTCTCGTAGTTCCGAGGCTTCTGGATGTCGAGAATGGAGATGATGTTCTCGTGGTTGAAGTACCGGAGTAGCTTCATCTCTCGTAGTGTTCTCAGACAGAACATGGAGTGGTCAAAGGGCGTAATCTTCTTGATGGCGACCTTCTGGCCGGACGGCTTGTGCAATGCGGAGCTGGATTATGGTTAGCAGCAGTCTGGGTGGCACTGAGAAGTGGGACCTACCAGACAACACCATACGCGCCTTCTCCTACGACATCCTGAATATCGTATTGCTCTGAGACATTGAAAGAGATCTTTCTAGAGCTACCGCTCCCCGCTGGTGGCATGTTGGCGGTTGTGGTGGTGGTGGGTATGCGCTGATGCGCGGCGGACTAGGTCGATTGAGCTGGTGCTCAGTGATTGCGGGGTCGTGATTGTTCGACGGTGGACAATTGAAAAGCGAAGGAGGAAGCTGGATGAGGATGCGTATGCGGTGGTGAAGGTGGGATCTAAGAGCGTGCTTGTCAGCTCAAGCTCGGAAAGGCTATATGGCAAGCATTGTTCGCAGAACAGCAAGCGTGTCTTGCGCGCGTTGGTGAAACGGCACTGTGTCAGACACTGAGCCAGCCCCACGTGCTGGCCTTTGAGCCGCAGAAGGTGTTCATGGCGGCAGCGACCACGACAGAGCACAAAGAAGAGCTATTCTGTATTCGTCGCCGCCCGCGTATTCATCTATCTAATTTGACATACCAAAGGATTGGGGTCGTTTGAGGATCGAGGTCCGTCCGGTCACCAGAGCCGACAGGTCGTGCGTGCACTTTGGTGGTGCCTGGGAGATGTCGCTCGTCTTTAGCCGTTTAATGACGCTGGTTACCGAGAGATGTCGTTGACCAACCGATTGGAGCTGGTGCGGCTGCGCTTCGGAGCTTCTCGAGTATGCTGGGGTGATGCCCGCGCAAGGTGGAGAGGGAGTGAGGCGGTGACAGAAAGGAGACGGATAAGGTGGGGGCAGGGTCTGTTGTATTGCCAAGTCAGTCCCAGATGCGATCTCAGCGTGGTAGCAGGTAGCGGGTAGCGGGCAGGAGGAACGTGGCCATGTACCGTAGCGTGTGGCTTTCCGACCGCGTGTGCGTGAAGGATGCGTCTTCACACGGGAGGGGATCGTGTAAAACACTCGAGAGGGGCGATGGCGTGTTTGTTGCTGCTGCGGGCGGCCGTGTCGCGCTTTCCAAGTG